CTCAACCGGGGGTTTAGGTGTCACTTTGAAAGAAAATCAAGGGATAGATGTTAACAGAATGCAGATTGCTCATGGATTCTCAGTTGAACCACATAAAATGTCGTAAGCAACCTTCAGACGATACTTTAATATTGCATTATGAATGGGTTACTGGAAAGTAATACAACATAATGTACATCGCTTTGCCAATACACTGCTTTATTGAAGCCTCCCCACTCTGTTTGAGTTACGTGCTTCATCATGCTCTTCAATGTGGTTTGTGAAAGTGGGATGGAGGAGCATGGACGTACAGCACAATAAAGGGGATGTGGCATTCGGCTCTCTGTAGTCTATAACATGCAGTTTAGATATTCTTTGTATCTTTCGGTAAAGTCACGTAGATAGGTACAAATGAATAAAAAAATAATTAATATAAAATTATAATTATACATATAATATTCGACCAGAAGACTTTAAAGCAGGAAACATCACAATTTTTCCAATGCTTCCACACACCAGGATAACTTTTTCTGAAACCAGAACTCGCCCCTGCCAAACCAGAACATTTGTTCCTTTAACTGTATGATAGATTTCAACATTATCCCTTCGTGATTTTGTACCTAATTCCACCATGATACCTGAGCCTGGGGTAGATGGTTGTTCTGGCTCATTTATGGAAGTTGGAGGTGCTGTAAACATGGAAGTCTGCAGTGAGCAAATCTGTCAAATGCATTCTTTCTTCGAAATGTAAGACACGTCCCATCATTTCCATATCTATAACTGATGATACGGCCTTGGAAAAAATATGAATATATGACGTTAGACTTTTAACACTGCAATCACATTCATGAATTACCGTTAGGTGTTGGTTTTTCAGATGACTGTGGTGTCTTTCTTGTTGCTTGTGTCACTGAAACACTGCCGCCTGCATATAAAAAGACATCTCAAATTAATACCAAAGTGTATATCTTTATTAAAGGTGATTAAAGTAAACATTTTCTCATGCTAAAGGCTTTGAAGTATATTTCTTTAGAAAAATGTTTGGTCAGCATTCAATTCAACTTTGATCGCTATCCTTACTTTACCTTTAGCTGAAGTGGTCTCTTCAGGCACTGGTGGGGGCTCCGGTTTCCTTTTCGTTGTTTCTGGAGCAGCTGCTGTTGGTGGTTTCTCAGGGGCCCCTTTGGTTGGGGCCTGAGTATTGGGTGGTGGAGGGGGGCCACCTGATTTGGAGCAGCAGAATCTCACCTTGTAGTTGTAACATGGCAAAAAGTCCTGATCGTCATTAGAGCATTTCAAGCCTGTGCTCTGGTCACAAGTGATTATTTGGCCCAATTCCTCCCATGGGGTATTCGGGAATCTCTCTGCTTTGCAGTCAATTTTTTCCACTGATGAGTCAGGCAGACAGACCTCTCTCCCCGAGTCTACAATCTTTTGGTAGGATTCCTCATCTCCGCCATTTTCTTCATCAGGATATTGATCATCGTACCAGTCAGACCAGCCTAAAGCACAATCTTCTGCAAACATATAACATTAATCGGTGATGAAATTCAAACAGATTTTTGAAAATATTGAAACCATTGGTGTGCATTAAAACAGGCCTCAAGACTATGTTACCACACTCCAATCCTCACCTTGGTTGGTGGGTGTTTCATTTGGTTTCGTAGCCTCAATTGGTTGCCGAGTTGCAGGAACAATCCATTCTGCAAAAAATACATGTGAATTATAGTGTGTGCATCGCATAAAATAATACACATCATCATCACTGAATATTATATCTCTCAAAATAATGTTTGTTAGGACAGGTAAGTAGTTTTGAGTTTCTATTGATTGCATTGAAGTGGACCCATCCAAATGTTTGGTTTACAAATGGAAATGGATGACTGCATCATTTTACCAAATAGCTGCCTTTTTACAACGTTTGATTTTTGTTTAAAACGCTCTAAACATTGAATCATCGGGGCGAGTGGAATGGGGAACAATAACTTCAGAAAATTAGAATCTGGAGCACTGTGTTAACATCAGCAATTGGGAAATTAGCCAGGTGTAGTGTATGTATTAAATACGTGTATACCTGTAGCATGATGTTTATCTATATAGCTTGCATACACGGGCAATGTATTTCACTTGATTTTGTTTACTTTTCAAACGTCCATTATTTAAACGTGGATGAAAACCTATAATGTGACGTCACAAAACGTGTTTAATGTAATATTAAATATTTTTGATCTCACGTGTTTCGAATATATTCATAAGTCAAATATTAGAAAAAGTGCCCAAACATGATTATTACTTCCCAAAGTATCAGTTTTCATTGTTAAGTAAAAGCTGTCTTTGATGTCAATAAAGGTACAATACTTCTGATTGGTGGAATGTTTACAAGGTGAAGGTCGGTAATGTTACTGACGTGATTTATTTTAACTAGTAGAGAATTCATAATAAAGGTTTTTTGGATTAGATCGGCGTTTATTTATAAATGTGTCGTAACCCTCCACCACCTGACACGGCCAATCAGCAAAAAAGTGTCACGTTGACAAAAGACAAATAATTCACTACTTCAGCCCACCGGTGTGTTGAAGAGTGAATCCACATTTACAGTTTGAGTAGTACGACGTTTCGCTGGTAAATACATCCAGCATCATCGGGCAATTCGCCAGAATGGTAAAGCCCTCGCTTGCTCCCGGTTTTATATAGAGCAGCAGCAGGGTGACGTCATCATTTAACTCATATCAGGTGCGGTGATTAGAGGCGGAGGGGGGGGGGTATTGTAATTATATAATCGATTAGTAATCAGTCATTGGTTATGATTAGTAATGAGTTGTAGATTAGTAATTCTTTAAATGTAATGTGTATTATTTAATAATACGCTTCCAGGCCGCACTAAGCCGGTAGCTGTCAGAGCGATTAAAGTTATTCTTGTTCCTCTCAATTTCAATGGATTCTCTAATTAGTCTAATTAGGTGGTGGAGGGTTACGACACATTTATAAATAAACACGATCTAACCCAAAAACCTTTATTATGAATAATATTGGTCGCGAAAGCCTACGTGTTAAACTAGTAGAGAATTGATGTTCATGTTACCATTGTCATAGTTACCTTCGCCGATAGTGGTCTCTTTAGGCACTGGTGGGGACTTTGGCTTCCTTTTCGTTGTTTCCGGAGCAGCTGCTGTTGGTGGTTTCTCAGGGGCCCCTTTGCTTGGGGCCTGAGTAATGGGTGGTGCAGGGGGTCCACTTGCTCTGGAGCAGCAGAATCTGACCTTGTAGTTGTAACATGGCAGTCCTCCTTGATCCTCATTGACACATTTCAGTCCTTTATTCTTGTCACAAGTGATTGTCTGGCCCAATTCCTGCCATGGGGTTTTGGGGAATCTCTCTGCTTTGCATTCAATGTTTTGCACCGGTGAGTCAGGCAGACAAACCACTTTCCCTGAGGCTATGACCTTCTGGTAAGATTCCTCATCTCCACCATTTTCTTCATCAGGATATTGCTCATCGTACCAATCAGACCAGCCTGGAGCACAGTCTTCTGCAAAGATACATTTTAAATCAGTCTTCAAACGAGTACTATATATACCAACTCTTTTTTCTCCAAGGTAATGTTCTGAAAGCTATAAAATGTATCAAAACTATGAATGCTCCATTGCTATGAGCATACAACAAACTACGTATATCATTTTGCACCGGAATAGAATGAGTATTTTCATACTGAATTAACTTACGTAAAGCTTCAGAATGTTGTGGAGGCTCAAAGCTAAAGCATAGTGAGCTGCCAACCCCTTCTGTTAGCACCACCCACTTTTATGTAGATACGGTGCATTAATCACCAGCACTGCTCACATAGTTGGTAGTGTCACTCTGAAACAAGCTGACCTACTGCTCGGTAAGTTACTCAGCTTAGAGTCCGTTAGTCCCACCCTTTTACCGTAAAATGGGCCAAGTATCGGACCAGAAGACTATGAAGCAGGACAAAACACACTTTTGCAATGATTCAGGACCATAGCATAGCCTTTTGTCACTGGCAATGGCCCGACCCTACCAGCGCATATGGTTGCTTTCATTGAACATGTTATTGCATTTAACATATTATCCACATGTTATTTTGCAACTAATTCCCCAATGGTACCTGGGCCTGAAGTTGGGGGTGATGGTTCCGGCTCATTGCTGCTGGAGGTTGGAGGTGGGGGTGTCTTGTCCTTGGGTCCAGTTGGTTCTTGAGGCGGAGCGCCACTCTCTTCTGGAGCTGGCTTTGTTGGCTTTTCTTCTCCCGGGGGTTTCGGTGTCACTTTGAAAGAAAAGGCAAGGGATGAATGTTGACAGAATGCAGATTACTCGTGCATTTTCAGTTGAACCTTGTAAAATGTTGTAAGCAACCTTAAGACAATACTTTCAATCTGCATTACAAATAAGTTACTGGAAAGTGATAGTAAATAACGTCAAGCTCTTTGCCAATACACTGGTTTATTAAAGCCTCCCAACGGTGTCTGGGTTGGGGGGGTTATTTGACCATCCTTCATCATGCTCTTCAGTGCGGTTTAGTGAACGTGGGATGAGGGAGCATGAAAGTACAGCACAATAAACGGGTGTGGCATTCTGCCCTCAGCATTCCACATTATAAATATGCAGCCTCAGGCATCTGTTACACAGGTTGTCCCCCGTTCAAATCTCATCCAGGCGCAAGTCTAATTCGTTGATGAGATCTAACATTCAGTGGTATTCTGTGATTTGATCCTAAGCAGTATACTTCCTGCATATATATAATGTAACAACATGAACACACCTGGCCCTCCTGAGGGTGAGGGTTCTGGCTCTTTGTTGCCGGAGGTTGGAGGTGCGGGTGTCTTGTCCTTCGATGTAGTTGGTCCTGGAGGAGGAGCACAAACCTTACTAATTGGCTGGGTCGTGTGGTGTTGGAGGTAAAAACGAATTTATATTCATACGATCTAACCCAGAAAACATTATGGATATGATGACAAGTCATATATTATCCATGTGCTTTGCAAATAATTTTTCCAATGTACCTGGGCTTCGTGAAGATGGACTTGGTGCAGGGGGTCCACTTGCTCTGGAGCAGCAGAATCTGACCTTGTAGTTGTAACATGGCAGTCCTCCTTGATCCTCATTGACACATTTCAGTCCTTTATTCTTGTCACAAGTGATTGTCTGGCCCAATTCCTGCCATGGGGTATTCGGGAATCTCTCTGCTTTGCATTCAATGTTTTGCACCGGTGAGTCAGGCAGACAAACCACTTTCCCTGAGGCTATGACCTTCTGGTAAGATTCCTCATCTCCGCCATTTTCTTCATCAGGATATTGCTCATCGTACCAATCAGACCAGCCTGGAGCACAGTCTTCTGCAAAGATACATTCTTAATCAGTCTTCAAACAATTACTATATAAATCAACTCCTTTTTCTCCAAGGTAATGTTCTGAAAGCTATAAAATGTATCAAAACTACGAATGCTCCATTGCTATGATCATACAACAAACTATGTATATCATTATGCACCGGAATAGAATGAGTATTTTCATACTGAATTAATGTACGTAATGCTTCAGAATGTTGTGGAGGCTCAAAGCTAAAGAGCAGTGAGCTGCCAAACCTTCTGTTAGCACCACCTACTTTTATGTAAATATGCTGCCTTAATCACCAGCATTGCTCACATAGTTGGTAGTGTCACTCTGAAGCAGGCTGACCTACTGCTCGGTAAGTTACTCAGCTCAGAGTCCGTTAGTCCCATCCTGTAACCGTAAAATGAGCCAAGTGTCGGACCAGAAAACTATGAAGCAGGACAAAAACACACTTTTGCAATGCTTCAGGACTATAGGATGGCCTATTTTCACTGGCAATGTCCCGACCCTACCAGCGTATATGGTTGCTTTCATTGAACATGTGATTGCATTTAATATAGTATCCACATGTTATTCTGCAACTAATTCCACCATGGTACCTGGGCCTGGAGTTGGGGGTGATGGTTCTGGCTCCTTGCCGCTGGAGGTTGGAGGTGGGGGTGTCTTGTCCTTGGGTCCAGTTGGTTCTTGAGGCGGAGCGCCACTTTCTTCTGGAGCTGGCTTTGTTGGCTTTTCCTCTCCCGGGGGTTTCGGTGTCACTTTGAAAGAAAAGGCAAGGGATGAATGTTAACAGAATTCAGATTACTCATGCATTTTCAGTTGAACCTTGTAAAATGTTGTAAGCAACCTTAAGACAATACTTTCAATCTGCATTACAAATAAGTTACTGGAAAGTGATACTAAATAATGTCAAGCTCTTTGCCAATACACTGGTTTATTAAAGCCTCCCAACGGTGTCTGGGTTGGTAGGGTTATTTGACCTTCCTTCATCATGCTCTTCAGTGCGGTTTAGTGAACGTGGGATGAGGGTGCATGAGAGTACAGCACAATAAACGGGTGTGGCATTCTGCCCTCAGCATTCCACATTGTAAATATGCAACCTCAGGCATCTGTTACACAGGTTGTCCCCCGTTCAAATCTCATCCAGGTGCAAGTCTAATTCGTTGATGAGATCTAACATTCAGTGGCATTCTGTGATTTGATCCTAAGCAGTATACTTGCTGCATATATATAATCTAACAACATGAACACACCTGGCCCTCCTGAGGGTGAGGGTTCTGGCTCCTTGATGCCAGAGGTTGGAGGTGGGGGTGTCTTGTCCTTCGGTGCAGTTGGTTCTTGAGGTGGAGCGCCACTCTCTTCTGGAGCTGGCTTTGTTGGCTTTTCCTCAACCGGGGGTTTCGGTGTCACTTTGGAAGAAAAGCCAGGGATTGGGTTTTGACAGAATGTGCATTGCACTGACATGTGTCAATGTAAGTACAGCAAAATAAAGGAATGTGTTATCCTGCCCTCTGCAACCTATAACATGCAATCTATAACGCATGTTACAGATGTGGTCAACCATTCGTGACTTCCAGGGCAAACCTATTTCATTTCTGAGATCTGGGAAATGTACGCGCATTCTGCGCTACTTGATGGTAAGTATTATATCGCCGGTATAAACATATACACATTAAAAAAAACTTGCAAACGTAACACACCTGGCCCTCCTGAGGGTGAGGGTTCTGGCTCCTTGTTGCCGGAGGTTGGAGGTGCGGGAGTCTTGTCCTTTGATCCAGTTGGTTCTTGAGGCGGAGCGCCACTCTCTTCTGGAGCTGGCTTTGTGGGCTTTTCCTCAACCGGGGGTTTGGGTGTCACTTTGAAAGAAAAGCAAGGGATGGATGTTGACAGAAGGTATATTGCATTGACTTGGGAGTATGTAATTACAGCAAAATAAAGGAATTTGTTATCCTACCCTCTGCAGCCTATAACATGCAGTCTAGGACACATGTTACGGATGTGGTCACATTTTCCTGCCATCCAGGGCAACCCTAATTCGTTTTTTTAGATCTGAGAAATGCATGCATATTCTGCGCTATTTGATCAATATTATACAGCTGATATGAAGATATATTAATTAAAATCAAGCAACATTAACACACCTGAGCATGTAACAAACTTTGTATATCATTACGCACAGGAAGTATAAAATGAGTATCTTCATCCTGAATTAACTGTACGAAACGCCTCAGAATGTTGGGGAGGATCAACGCTAAAGCACAGTGAGCTGCTAACCCCTTCTGTTAGCACCACCTACTTTGACGTAGTTATGCTGCCTTCATCACCAGCACTGCCCACATTGTTGGTAGTGTCACTCTGAAACAACCTAACCCTACTGCTCGGTAAGTTACTCCTATTCCGCTACGAACTCAGCTTAGAGTGTGTTAATCCCACCCTGTTCCAGTAAAATGAGCCAAGTATGGGACCAGAAGACTATAAAGCAGGACAAAATCACACTTTTGCAATTCTTCAGGACCCTTGGATAGCCTTTTGTAACCGGCAATGTCCTAACCCTATCAGAGCATATAGTTGCTTTCATTGAACATACGATTGCATTTAATATATTATACATATGTGACTTTGCAACGAATTCCACCATGGTACCTGGGCCTGGACTTGGGGGTGATGGTTCTGGCTCCTTATTGCTGGAGGTTGGAGGTGCAGGTGTCTTGTCCTTCGATGCAGTTGGTTCTGGAGGAGGAGCACAAACCTTACTAATTGGCTGGGTCGTGTGGTGGCGGAGGTAAAAACGAATTTATATTCATACGATCTAACCCAGAAAACATTATGGATATGATGACAAGTCATATATTATCCATGTGCTTTGCAAATAATTTTTCCAATGTACCTGGGCTTTGTGAAGATGGACTTGGTGCAGGGGGTCCACTTGCTCTGGAGCAGCAGAATCTGACCTTGTAGTTGTAACATGGCAGTCCTCCTTGATCCTCATTGACACATTTCAGTCCTTTATTCTTGTCACAAGTGATTGTCTGGCCCAATTCCTGCCATGGGGTATTAGGGAATCTCTCTGCTTTGCATTCAATGTTTTGCACCGGTGAGTCAGGCAGACAAACCACTTTCCCTGAGGCTATGACCTTCTGGTAAGATTCCTCATCTCCGCCATTTTCTTCATCAGGATATTGCTCATCGTACCAATCAGACCAGCCTGGAGCACAGTCTTCTGCAAAGATACATTCTTAATCAGTCTTCAAACAATTACTATATAAATCAACTCTTTTTTTCTCCAAGGTAATGTTCTGAAAGCTATAAAATGTATCAAAACTATGAATGCTCCATTGCTATGAGCATACAACAAACTATGTATATCATTATGCACCGGAATAGAATGAGTATTTTCATACTGAATTAACGTACGTAAAGCTTCAGAATGTTGTGGAGGCTCAAAGCTAAAGAGCAGTGAGCTGCCAAACCTTCTGTTAGCACCACCTACTTTTATGTAAATATGCTGCCTTCATCACCAGCACTGATCACATAGTTGGTAGTGTCACTCTGAAGCAGGCTGACCTACTGCTCGGTAAGTTACTCAGCTTAGAGTCCGTTAGTCCCACCCTGTTACCGTAAAGTGAGCCAAGTATCAGACCAGAAGACTATGAAGCAGGACAAAAACACACTTTTGAAATGATTCAGGACCATAGCATAGCCTTTTGTCACTGGCAATGTCCCGACCCTACCAGCGCATATGGTTGCTTTCATTGAACATGTGATTGCATTTAATATAGTATCCATATGTTATTTTGCAACTTATTCCACCATGGTACCTGGGCCTGAAGTTGGGGGTGATGGTTCCGGCTCATTGCTGCTGGAGGTTGGAGGTGGGGGAGTCTTGTCCTTGGGTCCAGTTGGTTCTTGAGGCGGAGCGCCACTTTCTTCTGGAGCTGGCTTTGTTGGCTTTTCCTCTCCCGGGGGTTTCGGTGTCACTTTGAAAGAAAAGGCAAGGGATGAGTGTTGACAGAATTCAGATTACTCATGCATTTTCAGTTGAAACTTGTAGAATGTTGTAAGCAACCTTCAGACAATACTTTCAATCTGCATTACAAATAAGTTACTGGAAAGTGAAACTAAATAACGTCAAGCTCTTTGCCAATACACTGCTTTATTAAAGCCTGCCAACGGTGTCTGGGTTGGGGGGGTTATTTGACCATCCTTCATCATGCTCTTCAGTGCGGTTTAGTGAACGTGGGATGAGGGAGCATGAAAGTACAGCATAATAAACGGGTGTGGCATTCGGCCCTCAGCATTCCACATTATAAATATGCAGCCTCAGGCATCTGTTACACAGGTTGTCCCCCGTTCAAATCTCATCCAGGCACAAGTCTAATTCGTTGATGAGATCTAACATTCAGTGGTATTCTGTGATTTGATCCTAAGCAGTATACTTCCTGCATATATATTATCTAACAACATGAACACACCTGGCCCTCCTGAGGGTGAGGGTTCTGGCTCCTTGATGCCAGAGGTTGGAGGTGGGGGTGTCTTGTCCTTCGGTGCAGTTGGTTCTTGAGGTGGAGTGCCACTCTCTTCTGGAGCTGGCTTTGTTGGCTTTTCCTCAACCGGGGGTTTCGGTGTCACTTTGGAAGAAAAGCCAGGGATTGGGTTTTGACAGAATGTGCATTGCACTGACATGTGTCAATGTAAGTACAGCAAAATAAAGGAATGTGTTATCCTGCCCTCTGCAACCTATAACATGCAATCTATAACGCATGTTACAGATGTGGTCAACCATTCCTGACTTCCAGGGCAAACCTATTTCATTTCTGAGATCTGGGAAATGTACGCGCATTCTGCGCTATTTGATCGTAAGTATGGCCGGTATAAACATATACACAATAAAAAAAACTTGCAAACGTAACACACCTGGACCTCCTGAGGGTGAGGGTTCTGGCTCCTTGTTGCCAGAGGTTGGAGGTGCGGGTGTCTTGTCCTTCGGTCCAGTTGGTTCTTGAGGAGGAGCGCCGCTCTCTTCTGGAGCTGGCTTTGTTGGCTTTTCCTCAACCGGGGGTTTGGGTGTCACTTTGAAAGAAAAGCAAGAGATGGGTGTTGACAGAAGGTATATTGCATTGACTTGGGAGCATGTAATTACAGCAAAATAAAGGAATTTGTTATCCTACCCTCTGCAGCCTATAACATGCAGTCTATGACACATGTTACGGATGTGGTCACATTTTCCTCCCATCCAAGGCAACCCTAATTCGTTTTTTAGATCTGAGAAATGCATGCACATTCTGCGCTCTTTGATCAATAGTATTATACAGCTGATATGAAGATATATTAATTAAAATCAAGCAACATTAACACACCTGAGCATATAACAAACTTTGTATATCATTATGCACAGGAAGTATAAAATGAGTATCTTCATCCTGAATTAACTGTACGAAACGCCTCAGAATGTTGGGGAGGATCAACGCTAAAGCACAGTGAGCTGCCAACCCCTTGCGTTAGCACCACCTACTTTGATGTAGTTATGCTGCCTTAATCACCATCACTGCCCACATTTTTGGTAGTGTCACTCTGAAGCAACCTCACCTACTGCTCGGTAAGTTACTCCTATTCCGCTATGAACCCAGCCTACAGTCCGTTAGTCCCACCCTGTTCCAGAAAAATGTGCCAATTATGGGACCAGAAGACTATAAAGCAGGACAAAATCACACTTGCAATGCTTCAGGACCCTTGGATAGCCTTTTGTAACCGGCAATGTCCTAACCCTATCAGAGCATATAGTTGCTTTCATTGAACATACGATTGCATTTAATATATTATACATATGTGACTTTGCAACTTATTCCACCATGGTACCTGGGCCTGAAGTTGGGGGAGATGGTTCCGGCTCATTGCTGCTGGAGGTTGGAGGTGGGGGAGTCTTGTCCTTGGGTCCAGTTGGTTCTTGAGGTGGAGCGCCACTCTCTTCTGGAGCTGGCTTTGTTGGCTTTTCCTCTCCCGGGGGTTTCGGTGTCACTTTGAAAGAAAAGGCAAGGGATGAGTGTTGACAGAATTCAGATTACTCATGCATTTTCAGTTGAAACTTGTAAAATGTTGTAAGCAACCTTCAGACAATACTTTCAATCTGCATTACAATAAAGTTACTGGAATGTGAAACTCAATAACGTCAAGCTATTTGCCAATACACTGCTTTATTAAAGCCTCCCAACGGTGTCTGGGTTGGGGGGGTTATTTGACCATCCTTCATCATGCTCTTCAGTGCGGTTTAGTGAACGTGGGATGAGGGTGCATGAAAGTACAGCACAATAAACGGGTGTGGCATTCTGCCCTCAGCATTCCACATTGTAAATATGCAGCCTTAGGCATCTGTTACACAGGTTGTCCCCCGTTCACATCTCATCCAGGCGCAAGTCTAATTCGTTGATGAGATCTAACATTCAGTGGTATTCTGTGATTTGATCCTAAGCAGTAATACTTCCTGCATATATGTAATGTAACAACATGAACACACCTGGCCCTCCTGAGGGTGAGGGTTCTGGCTCCTTGTTGCCGGAGGTTGGAGGTGCGGGTGGCTTGTCCTTCGATGCAGTTGGTTCTGGAGGAGGAGCACAAACCTTACTAATTGGCTGGGTCATGTGGTGGCGGAGGTTAAAACGAATTTATATTCATACGATCTAACCCAGAAAACATTATGGATATGATGACAAGTCATATATTATCCATGTGCTTTGCAAATAATTTTTCCAATGTACCTGGACTTCGTGAAGATGGACTTGGTGCAGGGGGTCCACTTGCTCTGGAGCAGCAGAATCTGACCTTGTAGTTGTAACATGGCAGTCCTGCTTGATCCTCATTGACACATTTCAGTCCTTTATTCTTGTCACAAGTGATTGTCTGGCCCAATTCCTGCCATGGGGTATTGGGGAATCTCTCTGCTTTGCATTCAATGTTTTGCACTGGTGAGTCAGGCAGACAAACCACTTTCCCTGAGGCTATGACCTTCTGGTAAGATTCCTCATCTCCGCCATTTTCTTCATCAGGATATTGCTCATCGTACCAATCAGACCAGCCTGGAGCACAGTCTTCTGCAAAGATACATTCTTAATCAGTCTTCAAACGAGTACTATATATACCAACTACTTTTTCTCCAAGGTAATATTCTGAAAGCTATAAAATGTATCAAAAATATGAATGTTCCATAGTTTCGAGTGTACGACAAACTTTGTATATCATTATGCACCGGAAGCATAGAATGAGTATTTTCATACTGACTTAACCGTATTTAAAGCTTCAGAATGTTGTGGAGGCTCAAAGCTAAAGCATAGTGAGCTGCCAACCCCTTCTGTTAGCACCACCCACTTTTTGTAGATACGGCGCATTAATCACCAGCATTGTTCACATAGTTGGTAGTGTCACTCTGAAACAAGCTGACCTACTGATCGGTAAGTTACTCAGCTTAGAGTCTATTAGTCCCACCCTGTTACAGTAAAATGAGCCAAGTATCAGACCAGAAGACTATGAAGCAGGACAAAAACACACTTTTGCAATGATTCAGGACCATAGCATAGCCTTTTGTCACTGGCAATGTCCCGACCCTACCAGTGCATATGGTTGCTTTCATTGAACATGTGATTGCATTTAATATAGTATCCATATGTTATTTTGCAACTTATTCCACCATGGTACCTGGGCCTGAAGTTGGGGGAGATGGTTCCGGCTCATTGCTGCTGGAGGTTGGAGGTGGGGGAGTCTTGTCCTTGGGTCCAGTTGGTTCTTGAGGTGGAGCGCCACTCTCTTCTGGAGCTGGCTTTGTTGGCTTTTCCTCTCCCGGGGGTTTCGGTGTCACTTTGAAAGAAAAGGCAAGGGATGAGTGTTGACAGAATTCAGATTACTCATGCATTTTCAGTTGAACCTTGTAAAATGTTGTAAGCAACCTTAAGACAATACTTTCAATCTGCATTACAAATAAGTTACTGGAAAGTGAAACTAAATAACGTCAAGCTCTTTGCCAATACACTGCTTTATTAAAGCCTCCCAACGGTGTCTGGGTTGGGGGGGTTATTTGACCATCCTTAATCATGCTCTTCAGTGCGGTTTAGTGAACGTGGAATGAGGGAGCATGAAAGTACAGCACAATAAACGGGTGTGGCATTCTGCCCTCAGCATTCCACATTTTAAATATGCAGCCTCACGCATCTGTTACACAGGTTGTCCCCCGTTCACATCTCATCCAGGCGCAAGTCTAATTCGTTGATGAGATCTAACATTCAGTGGTATTCTGTGATTTGATCCTAAGCAGTATGCTTCCTGCATATATATAATGTAACAACATGAACACACCTGGCCCTCCTGAGGGTGAGGGTTCTGGCTCCTTGTTGCCGGAGGTTGGAGGTGCGGGTGTCTTGTCCTTCGATGCAGTTGGTTCTGGAGGAGGAGCACAAACCTTACTAATTGGCTGGGTCATGTGGTGGCAGAGTTAAAAACGAATTTATATTCATACGATCTAACCCAGAAAACATTATGGATATGATGACATGTCATATATTATCCATGTTCTTTGCAAATAATTTTTCCAATGTACCTGGGCTTCGTGAAGATGGACTTGGTGCAGGGGGTCCACTTGCTCTGGAGCAGCAGAATCTGACCTTGTAGTTGTAACATGGCAGTCCTCCTTGATCCTCATTGACACATTTCAGTCCTTTATTCTTGTCACAAGTGATTGTCTGGCCCAATTCCTGCCATGGGGTATTAGGGAATCTCTCTGCTTTGCATTCAATGTTTTGCACCGGTGAGTCAGGCAGACAAACCACTTTCCCTGAGGCTATGACCTTCTGGTAAGATTCCTCATCTCCGCCATTTTCTTCATCAGGATATTGCTCATCGTACCAATCAGACCAGCCTGGAGCACAGTCTTCTGCAAAGATACATTCTTAATCAGTCTTCAAACAATTACTATATAAATCAACTCCTTTTTCTCCAAGGTAATGTTCTGAAAGCTATAAAATGTATCGAAACTACGAATGCTCCATTGCTATGAGCATACAACAAACTATGTATATCATTATGCACCGGAATAGAATGAGTATTTTCATACTGAATTAACGTACGTAATGCTTCAGAATGTTGTGGAGGCTCAAAGCTAAAGAGCAGTGAGTTGCCAAACCTTTTGTTAGCACCACCTACTTTTATGTAAATGTGCTGCCTTAATCACCAGCATTGCTCACATAGTTGGTAGTGTCACTCTGAAGCAGGCTGACCTACTGCTCGGTAAGTTACTCAGCTTAGAGTCCGTTAGTCCCATCCTGTAACCGTAAAATGAGCCAAGTATCGGACCAGAAAACTATGAAGCAGGACAAAAACACACTTTTGCAATGCTTCAGGACTATAGGATGTCCTATTTTCACTGGCAATGTCCCGACCCTACCAGCGTATATGGTTGCTTTCATTGAACATGTGATTGCATTTAATATAGTATCCATATGTTATTCTGCAACTAATTCCACCATGGTACCTGGGCCTGGAGTTGGGGGTGATGGTTCTGGCTCCTTGCCGCTGGAGGTTGGAGGTGGGGGTGTCTTGTCCTTAGGTCCAGTTGGTTCTTGAGGCGGAGCACCACTTTCTTCTGGAGCTGGCTTTGTTGGATTTTCCTCTCCCGGGGGTTTCGGTGTCACTTTGAAAGAAAAGGCAAGGGATGAGTGTTGACAGAATTCAGATTACTCATGCATTTTCAGTTGAACCTTGTAAAATGTTGTAAGCAACCTTAAGACAATACTTTCAATCTGCATTACAAATAAGTTACTGGAAAGTGATACTAAATAACGTCAAGCTCTTTGCCAATACACTGCTTTATTAAAGCCTCCCAACGGTGTCTGGGTTGGGGGGGTTATTTGACCATCCTTCATCATGCTCTTCAGTGCGGTTTAGTGAACGTGGGATGAGGGAGCATGAAAGTACAGCACAATAAACAGGTGTGGCATTCTGCCCTCAGCATTCCACATTTTAAATATGCAGCCTCAGGCATCTGTTACACACGTCCCCCGTTCAAATCTCATCCAGGCGCGAGTCTAATTAGTTGATGAGATCTAACATTCAGTGGCATTCTGTGATTTGATCCTAAGCAGTATACTTCCTGCATATATATAATGTAACAACATGAACACACCTGGCCCTCCTGAGGGTGAGGGTTCTGGCTCCTTGTTGCCGGAGGTTGGAGGTAGGGGTGTCTTGTCCTTCGGTGCAGTTGATTCTTGAGGTGGAGCGCCACTCTCTTCTGGAGCTGGCTTTGTGGGCTTTTCCTCAATCGGGGGTTTGGGTGTCACTTTGAAAGAAAAGCAAGAGATGGGTGTTGACAGAAGGTACATTGCATTGACTTGGGAGCATGTAATTACAGCGAAATAAAGGAATTTGTTATCCTGCTCTCTGCAGCCTATAACATGCAGTCTAGGACACATGTTACGGATGTGGTCACATTTTCCTGCCATCCAGGGCAACCCTAATTCGTTTTTTAGATCTGAGAAATGCATGCATATTCTGCGCTATTTGATCAATATTATTATACAGCTGATATGAAGATATATTAATTAAAATCAAGCAACATTAACACACTTGAGCATGTAACAAACTTTGTATATCATTACGCACAGGAAGTATAAAATGAGTATCTTCATCCTGAAATAACTGTACGAAACACCTCAGAATGTTGGGGAGGATCAACGCTAAAGCACAGTGAGCTGCTAACCCCTTCTGTTAGCACCACCTACTTTGACGTAGTTATGCTCCCTTCATCACCAGCACTGCCCACATTGTTGGTAGTGTCACTCTGAAACAACCTGACCCTACTGCTCGGTAAGTTACTCCTATTCCGCTATGAACCCAGCCTACAGTCCGTTAGTCCCACCCTGTTCCAGAAAAATGAGCCAATTATGGGACCAGAAGACTATAAAGCAGGACAAATCACACTTGCAATGCTTCAGGACCCTTGGATAGCCTTTTGTAACCGGCAATGTCCTAACCCTATCAGAGCATATGGTTGCTTTCATTGAACATACGATTGCATTTAATATATTATACATATGTGACTTTGCAACGAATTCCACCATGGTACCTGGGCCTGGACTTGGGGGTGATGGTTCTGGCCCCTTGTTGCTGGAGGTTGGAGGTGCAGGTGTCTTGTCCTTCGATGCAGTTGGTTCTGGAGGAGGAGCACAAACCTTACTAATTGGCTGGGTCGTGTGGTGGCGGAGTTAAAAACGAATTTTAATTCATACGATCTAACCCAGAAAACATGGATATGATATGTCATATATTATCCATGTGCTTTGAAAATAATTTTTCCAATGTACCTGGGCTTCGTGAAGATGGACTTGGTGCAGGGGGTCCACTTGCTCTGGAGCAGCAGAATCTGACCTTGTAGTTGTAACATGGCAGTCCTCCTTGATCCTCATTGACACATTTCAGTCCTTTATTCTTGTCACAAGTGATTGTCTGGCCCAATTCCTGCCATGGGGTATTCGGGAATCTCTCTGCTTTGCATTCAATGTTTTGCACCGGTGAGTCAGGCAGACAAACCACTTTCCCTGAGGCTATGACCTTCTGGTAAGATTCCTCATCTCCGCCATTTTCTTCATCAGGATATTGCTCATCGTACCAATCAGACCAGCCTGGAGCACAGTCTTCTGCAAAGATACATTCTTAATCAGTCTTCAAACAATTACTATATAAATCAACTCCTTTTTCTCCAAGGTAATGTTCTGAAAGCTATAAAATGTATCAAAACTACGAATGCTCCATTGCTATGAGCATACAACAAACTATGTATATCATTATGCACCGGAATAGAATGAGTATTTTCATACTGAATTAACGTACGTAATGCTTCAGAATGTTGTGGAGGCTCAAAGCTAAAGAGCAGTGAGCTCCCAAACCTTCTGTTAGCACCACCTACTTTTATGTAAATATGCTGCCTTAATCACCAGCATTGCTCACATAGTTGGTAGTGTCACTCTGAAGCAGTCTGACCTACTGCTCGGTAAGTTACTCAGCTTAGAGTCCGTTAGTCCCACCCTGTTACCGTAAAATGAGCCAAGTATCAGACCAGAAGACTATGAAGCAGGACAAAAACAAACTTTTGAAATGATTCAGGACCATAGCATAGCCTTTTGTCACTGGCAATGTGCCGACCCTACCAGCGTATATGGTTGCTTTCATTGAACATGTGATTGCATTTAATATAGTATCCATATGTTATTCTGCAACTAATTCCACCATGGTACCTGGGCCTGGAGTTGGGGGTGATGGTTCTGGCTCCTTGCCGCTGGAGGTTGGAGGTGGCGGTGTCTTGTCCTTGGGTCCAGTTGGTTCTTGAGGCGGAGCCCCACTCTCTTCTGGAGCTGGCTTTGTTGGCTTTTCCTCTCCCGGGGGTTTCGGTGTCACTTTGAAAGAAAAGGCAAGGGATGAGTGTTGACAGAATTCAGATTACTCATGCATTTTCAGTTGAACCTTGTAAAATGTTGTAAGCAACCTTAAGACAATACTTTCAATCTGCATTACAAATAAGTTACTGGAAAGTGATACTAAATAACGTCAAGCTCTTTGCCAATACACTGCTTTATTAAAGCCTCCCAACGGTGTCTGGGTTGGGGGGGTTATTTGACCATCCTTCATCATGCTCTTCAGTGCGGTTTAGTGAACGTGGGATGAGGGAGCATGAAAGTACAGCACAATAAACGGGTGTGGCATTCTGCCCTCAGCATTCCACATTATAAATATGCAGCCTCACGCATCTGTTACACAGGTTGTCCCCCGTTCAAATCTCATCCAGGCGCAAGTCTAATTCGTTGATGAGATCTAACATTCAGTGGTATTCTGTGATTTGATCCTAAGCAGTATACTTCCTGCATATATATAATGTAACAACATGAACACACCTGGCCCTCCTGAGGGTGAGGGTTCTGGCTCCTTGTTGCCAGAGGTTGGAGGTGCGGGTGTCTTGTCCTTCGATGCAGTTGGTTCTGGAGGAGGAGCACAAACCTTACTAATTGGCTGGGTCGGGTGGTGGCGGAGGTAAAAACGAATGTATATTCATACGATCTAACCCAGAAAACATTATGGATATGATGACAAGTCATATATTATCCATGTGCTTTGCAAATAATTTTTCCAATGTACCTGGGCTTCGTGAAGATGGACTTGGTGCAGGGGGTCCACTTGCTCTGGAGCAGCAGAATCTGACCTTGTAGTTGTAACATGGCAGTCCTCCTTGATCCTCATTGACACATATCAGTCCTTTATTCTTGTCACAAGTGATTGTCTGGCCCAATTCCTGCCATGGGGTATTCGGGAATCTCTCTGCTTTGCATTCAATGTTTTGCACCAGTGAGTCAGGCAGACAAACCACTTTCCCTGAGGCTATGACCTTCTGGTAAGATTCCTCATCTCCGCCATTTTCTTCATCAGGATATTGCTCATCGTACCAATCAGACCAGCCTGGAGCACAGTCTTCTGCAAAGATACATTCTTAATCAGTCTTCAAACAATTACTATATAAATCAACTCCTTTTTCTCCAAGGTAATGTTCTGAAAGCTATAAAATGTATCAAAACTACGAATGCTCCATTGCTATGAGCATACAACAAACTATGTATATCATTATGCACCGGAATAGAATGAGTATTTTCATACTGAATTAACGTACGTAATGCTTCAGAATGTTGTGGAGGCTCAAAGCTAAAGAGCAGTGAGCTCCCAAACCTTCTGTTAGCACCACCTACTTTTATGTAAATATGCTGCCTTAATCACCAGCATTGCTCACATAGTTGGTAGTGTCACTCTGAAGCAGTCTGACCTACTGCTCGGTAAGTTACTCAGCTTAGAGTCCGTTAGTCCCACCCTGTTACCGTAAAATGAGCCAAGTATCAGACCAGAAGACTATGAAGCAGGACAAAAACAAACTTTTGAAATGATTCAGGACCATAGCATAGCCTTTTGTCACTGGCAATGTGCCGACCCTACCAGCGTATATGGTTGCTTTCATTGAACATGTGATTGCATTTAATATAGTATCCATATGTTATTCTGCAACTAATTCCACCATGGTACCTGGGCCTGGAGTTGGGGGTGATGGTTCTGGCTCCTTGCCGCTGGAGGTTGGAGGTGGCGGTGTCTTGTCCTTGGGTCCAGTTGGTTCTTGAGGCGGAGCCCCACTCTCTTCTGGAGCTGGCTTTGTTGGCTTTTCCTCTCCCGGGGGTTTCGGTGTCACTTTGAAAGAAAAGGCAAGGGATGAGTGTTGACAGAATTCAGATTACTCATGCATTTTCAGTTGAACCTTGTAAAATGTTGTAAGCAACCTTAAGACAATACTTTCAATCTGCATTACAAATAAGTTACTGGAAAGTGATACTAAATAACGTCAAGCTCTTTGCCAATACACTGCTTTATTAAAGCCTCCCAACGGTGTCTGGGTTGGGGGGGTTATTTGACCATCCTTCATCATGCTCTTCAGTGCGGTTTAGTGAACGTGGGATGAGGGAGCATGAAAGTACAGCACAATAAACGGGTGTGGCATTCTGCCCTCAGCATTCCACATTATAAATATGCAGCCTCACGCATCTGTTACACAGGTTGTCCCCCGTTCAAATCTCATCCAGGCGCAAGTCTAATTCGTTGATGAGATCTAACATTCAGTGGTATTCTGTGATTTGATCCTAAGCAGTATACTTCCTGCATATATATAATGTAACAACATGAACACACCTGGCCCTCCTGAGGGTGAGGGTTCTGGCTCCTTGTTGCCAGAGGTTGGAGGTGCGGGTGTCTTGTCCTTCGATGCAGTTGGTTCTGGAGGAGGAGCACAAACCTTACTAATTGGCTGGGTCGGGTGGTGGCGGAGGTAAAAACGAATGTATATTCATACGATCTAACCCAGAAAACATTATGGATATGATGACAAGTCATATATTATCCATGTGCTTTGCAAATAATTTTTCCAATGTACCTGGGCTTCGTGAAGATGGACTTGGTGCAGGGGGTCCACTTGCTCTGGAGCAGCAGAATCTGACCTTGTAGTTGTAACATGGCAGTCCTCCTTGATCCTCATTGACACATATCAGTCCTTTATTCTTGTCACAAGTGATTGTCTGGCCCAATTCCTGCCATGGGGTATTCGGGAATCTCTCTGCTTTGCATTCAATGTTTTGCACCAGTGAGTCAGGCAGACAAACCACTTTCCCTGAGGCTATGACCTTCTGGTAAGATTCCTCATCTCCGCCATTTTCTTCATCAGGATATTGCTCATCGTACCAATCAGACCAGCCTGGAGCACAGTCTTCTGCAAAGATACATTCTTAATCAGTCTTCAAACAATTACTATATAAATCAACTCCTTTTTCTCCAAGGTAATGTTCTGAAAGCTATAAAATGTATCAAAACTATGAATGCTCCATTGCTATGAGCATACAACAAACTATGTATATCATTATGCACCGGAATAGAATGAGTATTTTCATACTGAATTAACGTACGTAATGCTTCAGAATGTTGTGGAGGCTCAAAGCTAAAGAGCAGTGAGCTGCCAAACCTTCTGTTAGCACCACCTACTTTTATGTAAATATGCTGCCTTAATCACCAGCATTGCTCACATAGTTGGTAGTGTCACTCTGAAGCAGGCTGACCTACTGCTCGGTAAGTTACTCAGCTTAGAGTCCGTTAGTCCCACCCTGTTACCGTAAAATGAGCCAAGTATCAGACCAGAAGACTATGAAGCAGGACAAAAACAAACTTTTGAAATGATTCAGGACCATAGCATAGCCTTTTGTCACTGGCAATGTGCCGACCCTACCAGCGTATATGGTTGCTTTCATTGAACATGTGATTGCATTTAATATAGTATCCATATGTTATTCTGCAACTAATTCCACCATGGTACCTGGGCCTGGAGTTGGGGGTGATGGTTCTGGCTCCTTGCCGCTGGAGGTTGGAGGTGGCGGTGTCTTGTCCTTGGGTCCAGTTGGTTCTTGAGGCGGAGCCCCACTCTCTTCTGGAGCTGGCTTTGTTGGCTTTTCCTCTCCCGGGGGTTTCGGTGTCACTTTGAAAGAAAAGGCAAGGGATGAGTGTTGACAGAATTCAGATTACTCATGCATTTTCAGTTGAACCTTGTAAAATGTTGTAAGCAACCTTAAGACAATACTTTCAATCTGCATTACAAATAAGTTACTAGAAAGTGATACTAAATAACGTCAAGCTCTTTGCCAATACACTGCTTTATTAAAGCCTCCCAACGGTGTCTGGGTTGGGGGGGTTATTTGACCATCCTTCATCATGCTCTTCAGTGCGGTTTAGTGAACGTGGGATGAGGGAGCATGAAAGTACAGCACAATAAACGGGTGTGGCATTCTGCCCTCAGCATTCCACATTATAAATATGCAGCCTCACGCATCTGTTACACAGGTTGTCCCCCGTTCAAATCTCATCCAGGCGCAAGTCTAATTCGTTGATGAGATCTAACATTCAGTGGTATTCTGTGATTTGATCCTAAGCAGTATACTTCCTGCATATATATAATGTAACAACATGAACACACCTGGCCCTCCTGAGGGTGAGGGTTCTGGCTCCTTGTTGCCAGAGGTTGGAGGTGCGGGTGTCTTGTCCTTCGATGCAGTTGGTTCTGGAGGAGGAGCACAAACCTTACTAATTGGCTGGGTCGGGTGGTGGCGGAGGTAAAAACGAATTTATATTCATACGATCTAACCCAGAAAACATTATGGATATGATGACAAGTCATATATTATCCATGTGCTTTGCAAATAATTTTTCCAATGTACCTGGGCTTCGTGAAGATGGACTTGGTGCAGGGGGTCCACTTGCTCTGGAGCAGCAGAATCTGACCTTGTAGTTGTAACATGGCAGTCCTCCTTGATCCTCATTGACACATATCAGTCCTTTATTCTTGTCACAAGTGATTGTCTGGCCCAATTCCTGCCATGGGGTATTCGGGAATCTCTCTGCTTTGCATTCAATGTTTTGCACCAGTGAGTCAGGCAGACAAACCACTTTCCCTGAGGCTATGACCTTCTGGTAAGATTCCTCATCTCCGCCATTTTCTTCATCAGGATATTGCTCATCGTACCAATCAGACCAGCCTGGAGCACAGTCTTCTGCAAAGATACATTCTTAATCAGTCTTCAAACAATTACTATATAAATCAACTCCTTTTTCTCCAAGGTAATGTTCTGAAAGCTATAAAATGTATCAAAACTATGAATGCTCCATTGCTATGAGCATACAACAAACTATGTATATCATTATGCACCGGAATAGAATGAGTATTTTCATACTGAATTAACGTACGTAATGCTTCAGAATGTTGTGGAGGCTCAAAGCTAAAGAGCAGTGAGCTGCCAAACCTTCTGTTAGCACCACCTACTTTTATGTAAATATGCTGCCTTAATCACCAGCATTGCTCACATAGTTGGTAGTGTCACTCTGAAGCAGGCTGACCTACTGCTCGGTATGTTACTCAGCTTAGAGTCCGTTAGTCCCATACTGTAACTGTAAAATGAGCCAAGTGTCGGACCAGAAAACTATGAAGCAGGACAAAAACACACTTTTGCAATGCTTCAGGACTATAGGATGGCCTATTTTCACTGGCAATGTCCCGGCCCTACCAGCGTATATGGTTGCTTTCATTGAATATGTGATTGCATTTAATATAGTATCCATATGTTATTCTGCAACTAATTCCACCATGGTACCTGGGCCTGGAGTTGGGGGTGATGGTTCTGGCTCCTTGCCGCTGGAGGTTGGAGGTGGGGGTGTCTTGTCCTTGGGTCCAGTTGGTTCTTGAGGCGGAGCGCCACTCTCTTCTGGAGCTGGCTTTGTTGGCTTTTCCTCTCCCGCGGGTTTCGGTGTCACTTTGAAAGAAAAGGCAAGGGATGAGTGTTGACAGAATTCAGATTACTCATGCATTTTCAGTTGAACCTTGTAAAATGTTGTAAGCAACCTTAAGACAATACTTTCAATCTGCATTACAAATAAGTTACTGGAAAGTGAAACTAAATAACGTCAAGCTCTTTGCCAATACACTGCTTTATTAAAGCCTCCCAACGGTGTCTGGGTTGGGGGGGTTATTTGACCATCCTTCATCATGCTCTTCAGTGTGGTTTAGTGAACGTGGGATGAGGGAGCATGAAAGTACAGCACAATAAACGGGTGTGGCATTCTGCCCTCAGCATTCCACATTATAAATATGCAGCCTCAGGCATCTGTTACACAGGTTGTCCCCCGTTCAAATCTCATCCAGGCGCAAGTCTAATTAGTTGATGAGATCTAACATTCAGTGGCATTCTGTGATTTGATCCTAAGCAGTATTCTTCCTGCATATATATAATGTAATAGCATGAACACACCTGGCCCTCCTGAGGGTGAGGGTTCTGGTTCCTTGTTGCCGGAGGTTGGAGGTGGGGGTGTCTTGTCCTTCGGTCCAGTTGGTTCTTGAGGTGGAGCGCCACTCTCTGCTGGTGCTGGTGGCTTTGTTGGCTTTTCCTCAACCGGGGGTTTCGGTGTCACTTTGGAAGAAAAGCCAGGGATTGGGTTTTGACAGAATGTGCATTGCACTGACATGTGACAATGTAAGTACTGCAAAATAAAGGAATGTGTTATCCTGCCCTCTGCAGCCTATAACATGCAATCTATAATGCATGTTACAGATGTGGTCAACCATTCCTGACTTCCAGGGCAAACCTATTTCATTTCTGAGATCTGGGAAATGTACGCGCATTCTGCGCTATTTGATCGTAAGTATGGCCGGTATAAACATATACACAATAAATAAAAACTTGCAAACGTAACACACCTGGCCCTCCTGAGGGTGAGGGTTCTGGTTCCGTGTTGCCGGAGGTTGGAGGTGGGGGTGTCTTGTCCTTCGGTCCAGTTGGTTCTTGAGGTGGAGCGCCACTCTCTGCTGGTGCTGGTGGCTTTGTTGGCTTTTCTTCAACCGGGGGTTTCGGTGTCACTTTGGAAGAAAAGCCAGGGATTGGGTTTTGACAGAATGTGCATTGCACTGACATGTGACAATGTAAGTACTGCAAAATAAAGGAATGTGTTATCCTGCCCTCTGCAGCCTATAACATGCAATCTATAACGCATGTTACAGATGTGGTCAACCATTCCTGACTTCCAGGGCAAACCTATTTCATTTCTGAGATCTGGGAAATGTACGCGCATTCTGCGCTATTTGATCGTAAGTATGGCCGGTATAAACATATACACAATAAATAAAAACTTGCAAACGTAACACACCTGGCCCTCCTGAGGGTGAGGGTTCTGGCTCCTTGTTGCCGGAGGTTGGAGGTGCGGGAGTCTTGTCCTTTGATCGAGTTGGTTCTTGAGGCGGAGCGCCGCTCTCTTCTGGAGCTGGCTTTGTGGGCTTTTCCTCAACCGGGGGTTTGGGTGTCACTTTGAAAGAAAAGCAAGAGATGGGTGTTGACAGAAGGTATATTGCATTGACTTGGGAGTATGTAATTACAGCAAAATAAAGGAATTTGTTGTCCTACCCTCTGCAGCCTATAACATGCAGTCTAGGACACATGTTACGGATGTGGTCACATTTTCCTGCCATCCAGGGCAACCCTAATTCGTTTTTTAGATCTGAGAAATGCATGCATATTCTGCGCTATTTGATCAATATTATACAGCTGATATGAAGATGTATTAATTAAAATCAAGCAACATTAACACACCTGAGCATGTAACAAACTTTGTATATCATTACGCACAGGAAGTATAAAATTAGTATCTTCATCCTGAATTAACTGTACGAAACGCCTCAGAATGTTGGGGAGGATCAACGCTAAAGCACAGTGAGCTGCTAACCCCTTCTGTTAGCACCACCTACTTTGACGTAGTTATGCTGCCTTAATCACCAGCACTGCCCACATTGTTGGTAGTGTCACTCTGAAGCAACCTCACCTACTGCTCGGTAAGTTACTCCTATTCCGCTACGAACCCAGCCTAGAGTCCAGTAGTCCCACCTTGTTCCAGTAAAATGAGCCAAGTATGGGACCAGAAGACTATAAAGCAGGACAAAATCACACTTTTGCAATTCTTCAGGACCCTACGATAGACTTTTGTAACCAGCAATGTCCTAACCCTATCAGAGCATGTGGTTGCTTTCATTGAACATACGATTGCATTTAATATATTATACATATGTGACTTTGCAACGAATTCCACCATGGTACCTGGGCCTGGACTTGGGGGTGATGGTTCTGGCTCCTTGTTGCTGGAGGTTGGAGGTGCAGGTGTCTTGTCCTTCGATGCAGTTGGTCCTGGAGGAGGAGCACAAACCTTACTAATTGGCTGGGTCGGGTGGTGGCGGAGTTAAAAACGAATGTATATTCATACGATCAAACCCAGAAAACATTATGGATATGATGGCATGTCATATATTATCCATGTGCTTTGCAAATAATTTTTCCAATGTACCTGGGCTTCGTGACGATGGACTTGGTGCAGTGGGTCCACTTGCTCTGGAGCAGCAGAATCTGACCTTGTAGTTGTAACATGGCAGTCCTCCCTGATCCTCATTGACACATTTCAGTCCTTTATTCTTGTCACAAGTGATTGTCTGGCCCAATTCCTGCCATGGGGTATTGGGGAATCTCTCTGCTTTGCATTCAATGTTTTGCACTGGTGAGTCAGGCAGACAAACCACTTTCCCTGAGGCTATGACCTTCTGGTAAGATTCCTCATCTCCGCCATTTTCTTCATCAGGATATTGCTCATCGTACCAATCAGACCAGCCTGGAGCACAGTCTTCTGCAAAGATACATTCTTAATCAGTCTTCAAACGAGTACTATATATACCAACTCCTTTTTCTCCAAGGTAATATTCTGAAAGCTATAAAATGTATCAAAAATATGAATGTTCCATAGCTTCGAGTGTACGACAAACTTTGTATATCATTATGCACCTGAAGCATAGAATGAGTATTTTCATACTGACTTAACCGTATTTAAAGCTTCAGAATGTTGTGGAGGCTCAAAGCTAAAGCATAGTGAGCTGCCAACCCCTTCTGTTAGCACCACCCACTTTTTGTAGATACGGCGCATTAATCACCAGCATTGTTCACATAGTTGGTAGTGTCACTCTGAAACAAGCTGACCTACTGCTCGGTAAGTTACTCAGCTTAGAGTCTATTAGTCCCACCCTGTTACAGTAAAATGAGCCAAGTATCAGACCAGAAGACTATGAAGCAGGACAAAAACACACTTTTGCAATGATTCAGGACCATAGCATAGCCTTTTGTCACTGGCAATGTCCCGACCCTACCAGTGCATATGGTTGCTTTCATTGAACATGTGATTGCATTTAATATAGTATCCATATGTTATTTTGCAACTAATTCCACCATGGTACCTGGGCCTGGAGTTGGGGGTGATGGTTCTGGCTCCTTGCCGCTGGAGGTTGGAGGTGGGGGTGTCTTGTCCTTGGGTCCAGTTGGTTCTTGAGGCGGAGCGCCACTCTCTTCTGGAGCTGGCTTTGTTGGCTTTTCCTCTCCCGGGGGTTTCGGTGTCACTTTGAAAGAAAAGGCAAGGGATGAGTGTTGACAGAATTCAGATTACTCATGCATTTTCAGTTGAACCTTGTAAAATGTTGTAAGCAACCTTAAGACAATACTTTCAATCTGCATTACAAAAAAGTTACTGGAAAGTGATACTAAATAACGTCAAGCTCTTTGCCAATACACTGCTTTATTAAAGCCTCCCAACGGTGTCTGGGTTGGGGGGGTTATTTGACCATCCTTCATCATGCTCTTCAGTGCGGTTTAGTGAACGTGGGATGAGGGAGCATGAAAGTACAGCACAATAAACGGGTGTGGCATTCTGCCCTCAGCATTCCACATTATACATATGCAGCCTCACGCATCTGTTACACAGGTTGTCCCCCGTTCAAATCTCATCCAGGCGCAGGTCTAATTCGTTGATGAGATCTAACATTCAGTGGTATTCTGTGATTTGATCCTAAGCAGTATGCTTCCTGCATATATATAATGTAACAACATGAACACACCTGGCCCTCCTGAGGGTGAGGGTTCTGGCTCCTTGTTGCCGGAGGTTGGAGGTGCGGGTGTCTTGTCCTTCGATGCAGTTGGTTCTGGAGGAGGAGCACAAACCTTACTAATTGGCTGGGTCGTGTGGTGGTGGAGTTAAAAACGAATTTATATTCGTACGATCTAACCCAGAAAACATTATGGATATGATGACAAGTCATATATTATCCATGTGCTTTGCAAATAATTTTTCCAATATACCTGGGCTTCGTGAAGATGGACTTGGTGCAGGGGTTCCACTTGCTCTGGAGCAGCAGAATCTGACCTTGTAGTTGTAACATTGCAGTCCTCCTTGATCCTCATTGACACATTTCAGTCCTTTATTCTTGTCACAAGTGATTGTCTGGCCCAATTCCTGCCATGGGGTATTCGGGAATCTCTCTGCTTTGCATTCAATGTTTTGCACCGGTGAGTCAGGCAGACAAACCACTTTCCCTGAGGCTATGACCTTCTGGTAAGATTCCTCATCTCCGCCATTTTCTTCATCAGGATATTGCTCATCGTACCAATCAGACCAGCCTGGAGCACAGTCTTCTGCAAAGATACATTCTTAATCAGTCTTCAAACAATTACTATATAAATCAACTCCTTTTTCTCCAAGGTAATGTTCTGAAAGCTATAAAATGTATCAAAACTACGAATGCTCCATTGCTATGAGCATACAACAAACTATGTATATCATTATGCACCGGAATAGAATGAGTATTTTCATACTGAATTAACTTACGTAATTCTTCAGAATGTTGTGGAGGCTCAAAGCTAAAGAGCAGTGAGCTGCCAAACCTTCTGTTAGCACCACCTACTTTTATGTAAATATGCTGCCTTAATCACCAGCATTGCTCACGTAGTTGGTAGTGTCACTCTGAAGCAGGCTGACCTACTGCTCGGTAAGTTACTCAGCTTAGAGTCTATTAGTCCCACCCTGTTACAGTAAAATGAGCCAAGTATCAGACCAGAAGACTATGAAGCAGGACAAAAACACACTTTTGCAATGATTCAGGACCATAGCATAGCCTTTTGTCACTTTCAATGTCCCGACCCTACCAGTGCATATGGTTGCTTTCATTGAACATGTGATTGCATTTAATATAGTATCCATATGTTATTTTGCAACTTATTCCACCATGGTACCTGGGCCTGAAGTTGGGGGTGATGGTTCCGGCTCATTGCTGCTGGAGGTTGGAGGTGGGGGAGTCTTGTCCTTGGGTCCAGTTGGTTCTTGAGGCGGAGCGCCACTCTCTTCTGGAGCTGGCTTTGTTGGCTTTTCCTCTCCCGGGGGTTTCGGTGTCACTTTGAAAGAAAAGGCAAGGGATGAGTGTTGACAGAATTCAGATTACTCATGCATTTTCAGTTGAACCTTGTAAAATGTTGTAAGCAACCTTAAGACAATACTTTCAATCTGCATTACAAATAAGTTACTGGAAAGTGAAACTAAATAACGTCAAGCTCTTTGCCAATACACTGCTTTATTAAAGCCTCCCAACGGTGTCTGGGTTGGGGGGGTTATTTGACCATCCTTCATCATGCTCTTCAGTGTGGTTTAGTGAACGTGGGATGAGGGAGCATGAAAGTACAGCACAATAAACGGGTGTGGCATTCTGCCCTCAGCATTCCACATTTTAAATATGCAGCCTCAGGCATCTGTTACACAGGTTGTCCCCCGTTCAAATCTCATCCAGGCGCAAGTCTAATTAGTTGATGAGATCTAACATTCAGTGGCATTCTGTGATTTGATCCTAAGCAGTATTCTTCCTGCATATATATAATGTAATAGCATGAACACACCTGGCCCTCCTGAGGGTGATGGTTCTGGCTCCTTGTTGCCGGAGGTTGGAGGTGGGGGTGTCTTGTCCTTCGGTCCAGTTGGTTCTTGAGGTGGACCGCCACTCTCTGCTGGTGCTGGCTTTGTTGGCTTTTCCTCAACCGGGGGTTTCGGTGTCACTTTGGAAGAAAAGCCAGGGATTGGGTTTTGACAGAATGTGCATTGCACTGACATGTGACAATGTAAGTACTGCAAAATAAAGGAATGTGTTATCCTGCCCTCTGCAGCCTATAACATGCAATCTATAACGCATGTTACAGATGTGGTCAACCATTCCTGACTTCCAGGGCAAACCTATTTCATTTCTGAGATCTGGGAAATGTACGCGCATTCTGCGCTATTTGATCGTAAGTATGGCCGGTATAAACATATACACAATAAATAAAAACTTGCAAACGTAACACACCTGGCCCTCCTGAGGGTGAGGGTTCTGGCTCCTTGTTGCCGGAGGTTGGAGGTGCGGGAGTCTTGTCCTTTGATCGAGTTGGTTCTTGATGCGGAGCGCCGCTCTCTTCTGGAGCTGGCTTTGTGGGTTTTTCCTCAACCGGGGGTTTGGGTGTCACTTTGAAAGAAAAGCAAGAGATGGGTGTTGACAGAAGGTATTTTGCATTGACTTGGGAGTATGTAATTACAGCAAAATAAAGGAATTTGTTATCCTACCCTCTGCAGCCTATAACATGCAGTCTAGGACACATGTTACGGATGTGGTCACATTTTCCTGCCATCCAGGGCAACCCTAATTCGTTTTTTTAGATCTGAGAAATGCATGCATATTCTGCGCTATTTGATCAATATTATACAGCTGATATGAAGATGTATTAATTAAAATCAAGCAACATTAACACACCTGAGCATGTAACAAACTTTGTATATCATTACGCACAGGAAGTATAAAATTAGTATCTTCATCCTGAATTAACTGTACGAAACGCCTCAGAATGTTGGGGAGGATCAACGCTAAAGCACAGTGAGCTGCTAACCCCTTCTGTTAGCACCACCTACTTTGACGTAGTTATGCTGCCTTAATCACCAGCACTGCCCACATTGTTGGTAGTGTCACTCTGAAGCAACCTCACCTACTGCTCGGTAAGTTACTCCTATTCCGCTACGAACCCAGCCTAGAGTCCAGTAGTCCCACCCTGTTCCAGTAAAATGAGCCAAGTATGGGACCAGAAGACTATAAAGCAGGACAAAATCGCACTTTTGCAATTCTTCAGGACCCTACGATAGACTTTTGTAACCAGCAATGTCCTAACCCTATCAGAGCATGTGGTTGCTTTCATTGAACATACGATTGCATTTAATATATTATACATATGTGACTTTGCAACGAATTCCACCATGGTACCTGGGCCTGGACTTGGGGGTGATGGTTCTGGCTCCTTGTTGCCGGAGGTTGGAGGTGCGGGTGTCTTGTCCTTCGATGCAGTTGGTTCTGGAGGAGGAGCACAAACCTTACTAATTGGCTGGGTCGTGTGGTGGCGGAGTTAAAAACGAATTTATATTCGTACGATCTAACCCAGAAAACATTATGGATATGATGACAAGTCATATATTATCCATGTGCTTTGCAAATAATTTTTCCAATATACCTGGGCTTCGTGAAGATGGACTTGGTGCAGGGGTTCCACTTGCTCTGGAGCAGCAGAATCTGACCTTGTAGTTGTAACATTGCAGTCCTCCTTGATCCTCATTGACACATTTCAGTCCTTTATTCTTGTCACAAGTGATTGTCTGGCCCAATTCCTGCCATGGGGTATTCGGGAATCTCTCTGCTTTGCATTCAATGTTTTGCACCGGTGAGTCAGGCAGACAAACCACTTTCCCTGAGGCTATGACCTTCTGGTAAGATTCCTCATCTCCGCCATTTTCTTCATCAGGATATTGCTCATCGTACCAATCAGACCAGCCTGGAGCACAGTCTTCTGCAAAGATACATTCTTAATCAGTCTTCAAACAATTACTATATAAATCAACTCCTTTTTCTCCAAGGTAATGTTCTGAAAGCTATAAAATGTATCAAAACTACGAATGCTCCATTGCTATGAGCATACAACAAACTATGTATATCATTATGCACCGGAATAGAATGAGTATTTTCATACTGAATTAACTTACGTAATTCTTCAGAATGTTGTGAAGGCTCAAAGCTAAAGAGCAGTGAGCTGCCAAACCTTCTGTTAGCACCACCTACTTTTATGTAAATATGCTGCCTTAATCACCAGCATTGCTCACGTAGTTGGTAGTGTCACTCTGAAGCAGGCTGACCTACTGCTCGGTAAGTTACTCAGCTTAGAGTCCGTTAGTCCCATCCTGTAACCGTAAAATGAGCCAAGTGTCGGACCAGAAAACTATGAAGCAGGACAAAAAAACACTTTTGCAATGCTTCAGGACTATAGGATGGCCTATTTTCACTGGCAATGTCCCGACCCTACCAGCGTATATGGTTGCTTTCATTGAACATGTGATTGCATTTAATATAGTATCCATATGTTATTCTGCAACTAATTCCACCATGGTACCTGGGCCTGGAGTTGGGGGTGATGGTTCTGGCTCCTTGCCGCTGGAGGTTGGAGGTGGGGGTGTCTTGTCCTTGGGTCCAGTTGGTTCTTGAGGCGGAGCGCCACTCTCTTCTGGAGCTGGCTTTGTTGGCTTTTCCTCTCCCGGGGGTTTCGGTGTCACTTTGAAAGAAAAGGCAAGGGATGAGTGTTGACAGAATTCAGATTACTCATGCATTTTCAGTTGAACCTTGTAAAATGTTGTAAGCAACCTTAAGACAATACTTTCAATCTGCATTACAAATAAGTTACTGGAAAGTGAAACTAAATAACGTCAAGCTCTTTGCCAATACACTGCTTTATTAAAGCCTCCCAACGGTGTCTGGGTTGGGGGGGTTATTTGACCATCCTTCATCATGCTCTTCAGTGTGGTTTAGTGAACGTGGGATGAGGGAGCATGAAAGTACAGCACAATAAACGGGTGTGGCATTCTGCCCTCAGCATTCCACATTTTAAATATGCAGCCTCAGGCATCTGTTACACAGGTTGTCCCCCGTTCAAATCTCATCCAGGCGCAAGTCTAATTAGTTGATGAGATCTAACATTCAGTGGCATTCTGTGATTTGATCCTAAGCAGTATTCTTCCTGCATATATATAATGTAATAGCATGAACACACCTGGCCCTCCTGAGGGTGAGGGTTCTGGTTCCTTGTTGCCGGAGGTTGGAGGTGGGGGTGTCTTGTCCTTCGGTCCAGTTGGTTCTTGAGGTGGAGCGCCACTCTCTGCTGGTGCTGGCTTTGTTGGCTTTTCCTCAACCGGGGGTTTCGGTGTCACTTTGGAAGAAAAGCCAGGGATTGGGTTTTGACAGAATGTGCATTGCACTGACATGTGACAATGTAAGTACAGCAAAATAAAGGAATGTGTTATCCTGCCCTCTGCAGCCTATACCATGCAATCTATAACGCATGTTACAGATGTGGTCAACCATTCCTGACTTCCAGGGCAAACCTATTTCATTTCTGAGATCTGGGAAATGTACGCGCATTCTGCGCTATTTGATCGTAAGTATGGCCGGTATAAACATATACACAATAAATAAAAACTTGCAAATGTAACACACCTGGCCCTCCTGAGGGTGAGGGTTCTGGCTCCTTGTTGCCGGAGGTTGGAGGTGCGGGAGTCTTGTCCTTTGATCCAGTTGGTTCTTGAGGCGGAGCGCCACTCTCTTCTGGAGATGGCTTTGTGGGCTTTTCCTCAACCCGGGGTTTGGGTGTCACTTTGAAAGAAAAGCCAGAGATGGGTGTTGACAGAAGGTATATTGCATTGACTTGGGAGTATGTAATTACAGCAAAATAAAGGAATTTGTTATCCTACCCTCTGCAGCCTATAACATGCAGTCTAGGACACATGTTACGGATGTGGTCACATTTTCCTGCCATCCAGGGCAACCCTAATTCGTTTTTTAGATCTGAGAAATGCATGCATATTCTGCGCTATTTGATCAATATTATACAGCTGATATGAAGATGTATTAATTAAAATCAAGCAACATTAACACACCTGAGCATGTAACAAACTTTGTATATCATTACGCACAGGAAGTATAAAATTAGTATCTTCATCCTGAATTAACTGTACGAAACGCCTCAGAATGTTGGGGAGGATCAACGCTAAAGCACAGTGAGCTGCTAACCCCTTCTGTTAGCACCACCTACTTTGACGTAGTTATGCTGCCTTAATCACCAGCACTGCCCACATTGTTGGTAGTGTCACTCTGAAGCAACCTCACCTACTGCTCGGTAAGTTACTCCTATTCCGCTACGAACCCAGCCTAGAGTCCAGTAGTCCCACCCTGTTCCAGTAAAATGAGCCAAGTATGGGACCAGAAGACTATAAAGCAGGACAAAATCACACTTTTGCAATTCTTCAGGACCCTACGATAGACTTTTGTAACCAGCATTGTCCTAACCCTATCAGAGCATGTGGTTGCTTTCATTGAACATACGATTGCATTTAATATATTATACATATGTGACTTTGCAACGAATTCCACCATGGTACCTGGGCCTGGACTTGGGGGTAATGGTTCTGGCTCCTTGTTGCTGGAGGTTGGAGGTGCAGGTGTCTTGTCCTTCGATGCAGTTGGTCCTGGAGGAGGAGCACAAACCTTACTAATTGGCTGGGTCGGGTGGTGGCGGAGTTAAAAACGAATTTATATTCATACGATCAAACCCAGAAAACATTATGGATTTGATGACATGTCATATATTATCCATGTGCTTTGCAAATAATTTTTCCAATGTACCTGGGCTTCGTGAAGATGGACTTGGTGCAGTGGGTCCACTTGCTCTGGAGCAGCAGAATCTGACCTTGTAGTTGTAACATGGCAGTCCTCCCTGATCCTCATTGACACATTTCAGTCCTTTATTCTTGTCACAAGTGATTGTCTGGCCCAATTCCTGCCATGGGGTATTGGGGAATCTCTCTGCTTTGCATTCAATGTTTTGCACTGGTGAGTCAGGCAGACAAACCACTTTCCCTGAGGCTATGACCTTCTGGTAAGATTCCTCATCTCCGCCATTTTCTTCATCAGGATATTGCTCATCGTACCAATCAGACCAGCCTGGAGCACAGTCTTCTGCAAAGATACATTCTTAATCAGTCTTCAAACGAGTACTATATATACCAACTCCTTTTTCTCCAAGGTAATATTCTGAAAGCTATAAAATGTATCAAAAATATGAATGTTCCATAGCTTCGAGTGTACGACAAACTTTGTATATCATTATGCACCGGAAGCATAGAATGAGTATTTTCATACTGACTTAACCGTATTTAAAGCTTCAGAATGTTGTGGAGGCTCAAAGCTAAAGCATAGTGAGCTGCCAACCCCTTCTGTTAGCACCACCCACTTTTTTGTAGATACGGCGCATTAATCACCAGCATTGTTCACATAGTTGGTAGTGTCACTCTTAAACAAGCTGACCTACTGCTCGGTAAGTTACTCAGCTTAGAGTCTATTAGTCCCACCCTGTTACAGTAAAATGAGCCAAGTATCAGACCAGAAGACTATGAAGCAGGACAAAAACACACTTTTGCAATGATTCAGGACCATAGCATAGCCTTTTGTCACTTTCAATGTCCCGACCCTACCAGTGCATATGGTTGCTTTCATTGAACATGTGATTGCATTTAATATAGTATCCATATGTTATTTTGCAACTTATTCCACCATGTTACCTGGGCCTGAAGTTGGGGGTGATGGTTCCGGCTCATTGCTGCTGGAGGTTGGAGGTGGGGGAGTCTTGTCCTTGGGTCCAGTTGGTTCTTGAGGTGGAGCGCCACTCTCTTCTGGAGCTGGCTTTGTTGGCTTTTCCTCTCCCGGGGGTTTCGGTGTCACTTTGAAAGAAAAGGCAAGGGATGAGTGTTGACAGAATTCAGATTACTCATGCATTTTCAGTTGAAACTTGTAAAATGTTGTAAGCAACCTTCAGACAATACTTTCAATCTGCATTACAAACAAGTTACTGGAATGTGAAACTAAATAACGTCAAGCTCTTTGCCAAAACACTGCTTTATTAAAGCCTCCCAACGGTGTCTGGGTTGAGGGGGTTATTTGACCATCCTTCATCATGCTCTTCAGTGCGGTTTAGTGAACGTGGGATGAGGGAGCATGAAAGTACAGCAAAATAAACGGGTGTTGCATTCTGCCCTCAGCATTCCACATTATAAATATGCAGCCTCACGCATCTGTTACACAGGTTGTCCCCCGTTCAAATCTCATCCAGGCGCAAGTCTAATTCATTCATGAGATCTAACATTCAGTGGTATTCTGTGATTTGATCCTAAGCAGTATACTTCCTGCATATATATAATGTAACAACATGAACACACCTGGCCCTCCTGAGGGTGAGGGTTCTGGCTCCTTGTTGCCGGAGGTTGGAGGTGCGGGTGTCTTGTCCTTCGATGCAGTTGGTCCTGGAGGAGGAGCACAAACCTTACTAATTGGCCGGGTCGTGTGGTGTCGGAGGTAAAAACGAATTTATGTTCATACGATCTAACCCAGAAAACATTATGGATATGATGACAAGTCATATATTATCCATGTGCTTTGCAAATATTTTTTCCAATGTACCTGGGCTTCGTGAAGATGGACTTGGTGCAGGGGGTCCACTTGCTCTGGAGCAGCAGAATCTGACCTTGTAGTTGTAACATGACAGTCCTCCTTGATCCTCATTGACACATTTCAGTCCTTTATTCTTGTCACAAGTGATTGTCTGGCCCAATTCCTGCCATGGGGTATTCGGGAATCTCTCTGCTTTGCATTCAATGTTTTGCACCGGTGAGTCAGGCAGACAAACCACTTTCCCTGAGGCTATGACCTTCTGGTAAGATTCCTCATCTCCGCCATTTTCTTCATCAGGATATTGCTCATCGTACCAATCAGACCAGCCTGGAGCACAGTCTTCTGCAAAGATACATTCTTAATCAGTCTTCAAACAATTACTATATAAATCAACTCCTTTTTCTCCAAGGTAATGTTCTGAAAGCTATAAAATGTATCAAAACTACGAATACTCCATTGCTATGTGCATACAACAAACTACGTATATCATTATGCACCGGAATAAAATGAGTATTTTCATACTGAATTAACGTACGTAATGCTTCAGAGTGTTGTGGAGGCTCAAAGCTAAAGAGCAGTGAGCTGCCAAACCTTCTGTTAGCACCACCTACTTTTATGTAAATATGCTGCCTTAATCACCAGCATTGCTCACGTAGTTGGTAGTGTCACTCTGAAGCAGGCTGACCTACTGCTCGGTAAGTTACTCAGCTTAGAGTCCGTTAGTCCCATCCTCAAACCTTAAAATGAGCCAAGTGTCGGACCAGAAAACTATGAAGCAGGACAAAAACACACTTTTGCAATGCTTCAGGACTATAGGATGGCCTATTTTCACTGGCAATGTCCCGACCCTACCAGCGTATATGGTTGCTTTCATTGAACATGTGATTGCATTTAATATAGTATCCATATGTTATTCTGCAACTAATTCCACCATGGTACCTGGGCCTGGAGTTGGGGGTGATGGTTCTGGCTCCTTGCCACTGGAGGTTGGAGGTGGGGGTGTCTTGTCCTTGGGTCCAGTTGGTTCTTGAGGCGGAGCGCCACTCTCTTCTGGAGCTGGCTTTGTTGGCTTTTCCTCTCCCGGGGGTTTCGGTGTCACTTTGAAAGAAAAGGCAAGGGATGAGTGTTGACAGAATTCAGATTACTCATGCATTTTCAGTTGAACCTTGTAAAATGTTGTAAGCAACCTTAAGACAATACTTTCAATCTGCATTACAAATAAGTTACTGGAAAGTGAAACTAAATAACGTCAAGCTCTTTGCCAATACACTGCTTTATTAAAGCCTCCCAACGGTGTCTGGGTTGGGGGGGTTATTTGACCATCCTTCATCATGCTCTTCAGTGTGGTTTAGTGAACGTGGGATGAGGGAGCATGAAAGTACAGCACAATAAACGGGTGTGGCATTCTGCCCTCAGCATTCCACATTTTAAATATGCAGCCTCAGGCATCTGTTACACAGGTTGTCCCCCGTTCAAATCTCATCCAGGCGCAAGTCTAATTAGTTGATGAGATCTAACATTCAGTGGCATTCTGTGATTTGATCCTAAGCAGTATTCTTCCTGCATATATATAATGTAATAGCATGAACACACCTGGCCCTCCTGAGGGTGAGGGTTCTGGTTCCTTGTTGCCGGAGGTTGGAGGTGGGGGTGTCTTGTCCTTCGGTCCAGTTGGTTCTTGAGGTGGAGCGCCACTCTCTGCTGGTGCTGGCTTTGTTGGCTTTTCCTCAACCGGGGGTTTCGGTGTCACTTTGGAAGAAAAGCCAGGGATTGGGTTTTGACAGAATGTGCATTGCACTGACATGTGACAATGTATGTACTGCAAAATAAAGGAATGTGTTATCCTGCCCTCTGCAGCCTATAACATGCAATCTATAACGCATGTTACAGATGTGGTCAACCATTCCTGACTTCCAGGGCAAACCTATTTCATTTCTGAGATCTGGGAAATGTACGCGCATTCTGCGCTATTTGATCGTAAGTATGGCCGGTATAAACATATACACGATAAATAAAAACTTGCAAACGTAACACACCTGGCCCTCCTGAGGGTGAGGGTTCTGGCTCCTTGTTGCCGGAGGTTGGAGGTGCGGGAGTCTTGTCCTTTGATCCAGTTGGTTCTTGAGGCGGAGCGCCACTCTCTTCTGGAGATGGCTTTGTGGGCTTTTCCTCAACCGGGGGTTTGGGTGTCACTTTGAAAGAAAAGCCAGATATGGGTGTTGACAGAAGGTATATTGCATTGACTTGGGAGTATGTAATTACAGCAAAATAAAGGAATTTGTTATCCTACCCTCTGCAGCCTATAACATGCAGTCTAGGACACATGTTACGGATGTGGTCACATTTTCCTGCCATCCAGGGCAACCCTAATTCGTTTTTTAGATCTGAGAAATGCATGCATATTCTGCGCTATTTGATCAATATTATACAGCTGATATGAAGATGTATTAATTAAAATCAAGCAACATTAACACACCTGAGCATGTAACAAATTTTGTATATCATTACGCACAGGAAGTATAAAATGAGTATCTTCATCCTGAATTAACTGTACGAAACGCCTCAGAATATTGGGGAGGATCAACGCTAAAGCACAGTGAGCTGCTAACCCCTTCTGTTAGCACCACCTACTTTGATGTAGTTATGCTGCCTTAATCACCAGCACTGCCCACATTGTTGGTAGTGTCACTCTGAAGCAACCTCACCTACTGCTCGGTAAGTTACTCCTATTCCGCTACGAACCCAGCCTAGAGTCCAGTAGTCCCACCCTGTTCCAGTAAAATGAGCCAAGTATGGGACCAGAAGACTATAAAGCAGGACAAAATCACACTTTTGCAATTCTTCAGGACCCTACGATAGACTTTTGTAACCAGCATTGTCCTAACCCTATCAGAGCATGTGGTTGCTTTCATTGAACATACGATTGCATTTAATATATTATACATATGTGACTTTGCAACGAATTCCACCATGGTACCTGGGCCTGGACTTGGGGGTAATGGTTCTGGCTCCTTGTTGCTGGAGGTTGGAGGTGCGGGTGTCTTGTCCTTCGATGCAGTTGGTTCTGGAGAAGGAGCACAAACCTTACTAATTGGCTGGGTCGTGTGGTGGCGGAGGTAAAAACGAATTTATATTCATACGATCTATCCCAGAAAACATTATGGATATGATGACAAGTCATATATTATCCATGTGCTTTGCAAATAATTTTTCCAATGTACCTGGGCTTCGTGAAGATGGACTTGGTGCAGGGGGTCCACTTGCTCTGGAGCAGCAGAATCTGACCTTGTAGTTGTAACATGGCAGTCCTCCTTGATCCTCATTGACACATTTCAGTCCTTTATTCTTGTCACAAGTGATTGTCTGGCCCAATTCCTGCCATGGGGTATTCGGGAATCTCTCTGCTTTGCATTCAATGTTTTGCACCGGTGAGTCAGGCAGACAAACCACTTTCCCTGAGGCTATGACCTTCTGGTAAGATTCCTCATCTCCGCCATTTTCTTCATCAGGATATTGCTCATCGTACCAATCAGACCAGCCTGGAGCACAGTCTTCTGCAAAGATACATTCTTAATCAGTCTTCAAACGAGTACTATATATACCAACTCCTTTTTCTCCAAGGTAATATTCTGAAAGCTATAAAATGTATCAAAAATATGAATGTTCCATAGCTTCGAGTGTACGACAAACTTTGTATATCATTATGCACCGGAAGCATAGAATGAGTATTTTCATACTGACTTAACCGTATTTAAAGCTTCAGAATGTTGTGGAGGCTCAAAGCTAAAGCATAGTGAGCTGCCAACCCCTTCTGTTAGCACCACCCACTTTTTTGTAGATACGGCGCATTAATCACCAGCATTGTTCACATAGTTGGTAGTGTCACTCTGAAACAAGCTGACCTACTGCTCGGTAAGTTACTCAGCTTAGAGTCTATTAGTCCCACCCTGTTACAGTAAAATGAGCCAAGTATCAGACCAGAAGACTATGAAGCAGGACAAAAACACACTTTTGCAATGATTCAGGACCATAGCATAGCCTTTTGTCACTGGCAATGTCCCGACCCTACCAGTGCATATGGTTGTTTTCATTGAACATGTGATTGCATTTAATATAGTATCCATATGTTATTTTGCAACTTATTCCACCATGGTACCTGGGCCTGAAGTTGGGGGTGATGGTTCCGGCTCATTGCTACTGGAGGTTGGAGGTGGGGGAGTCTTGTCCTCGGGTCCAGTTGGTTCTTGAGGCGGAGCGCCACTCTCTTCTGGAGCTGGCTTTGTTGGCTTTTCCTCTCCCGGGGGTTTCGGTGTCACTTTGAAAGAAAAGGCAAGGGATGAGTGTTGACAGAATTCAGATTACTCATGCATTTTCAGTTGAACCTTGTAAAATGTTGTAAGCAACCTTAAGACAATACTTTCAATCTGCATTACAAATAAGTTACTGGAAAGTGAAACTAAATAACGTCAAGCTCTTTGCCAATACACTGCTTTATTAAAGCCTCCCAACGGTGTCTGGGTTGGGGGGGTTATTTGACCATCCTTCATCATGCTCTTCAGTGTGGTTTAGTGAACGTGGGATGAGGGAGCATGAAAGTACAGCACAATAAACGGGTGTGGCATTCTGCCCTCAGCATTCCACATTTTAAATATGCAGCCTCAGGCATCTGTTACACAGGTTGTCCCCCGTTCAAATCTCATCCAGGCGCAAGTCTAATTAGTTGATGAGATCTAACATTCAGTGGCATTCTGTGATTTGATCCTAAGCAGTATTCTTCCTGCATATATATAATGTAATAGCATGAACACACCTGGCCCTCCTGAGGGTGAGGGTTCTGGTTCCTTGTTGCCGGAGGTTGGAGGTGGGGGTGTCTTGTCCTTCGGTCCAGTTGGTTCTTGAGGTGGAGCGCCACTCTCTGCTGGTGCTGGCTTTGTTGGCTTTTCCTCAACCGGGGGTTTCGGTGTCACTTTGGAAGAAAAGCCAGGGATTGGGTTTTGACAGAATGTGCATTGCACTGACATGTGACAATGTATGTACTGCAAAATAAAGGAATGTGTTATCCTGCCCTCTGCAGCCTATAACATGCAATCTATAACGCATGTTACAGATGTGGTCAACCATTCCTGACTTCCAGGGCAAACCTATTTCATTTCTGAGATCTGGGAAATGTACGCGCATTCTGCGCTATTTGATCGTAAGTATGGCCGGTATAAACATATACACGATAAATAAAAACTTGCAAACGTAACACACCTGGCCCTCCTGAGGGTGAGGGTTCTGGCTCCTTGTTGCCGGAGGTTGGAGGTGCGGGAGTCTTGTCCTTTGATCCAGTTGGTTCTTGAGGCGGAGCGCCACTCTCTTCTGGAGATGGCTTTGTGGGCTTTTCCTCAACCGGGGGTTTGGGTGTCACTTTGAAAGAAAAGCCAGATATGGGTGTTGACAGAAGGTATATTGCATTGACTTGGGAGTATGTAATTACAGCAAAATAAAGGAATTTGTTATCCTACCCTCTGCAGCCTATAACATGCAGTCTAGGACACATGTTACGGATGTGGTCACATTTTCCTGCCATCCAGGGCAACCCTAATTCGTTTTTTAGATCTGAGAAATGCATGCATATTCTGCGCTATTTGATCAATATTATACAGCTGATATGAAGATGTATTAATTAAAATCAAGCAACATTAACACACCTGAGCATGTAACAAATTTTGTATATCATTACGCACAGGAAGTATAAAATGAGTATCTTCATCCTGAATTAACTGTACGAAACGCCTCAGAATATTGGGGAGGATCAACGCTAAAGCACAGTGAGCTGCTAACCCCTTCTGTTAGCACCACCTACTTTGATGTAGTTATGCTGCCTTAATCACCAGCACTGCCCACATTGTTGGTAGTGTCACTCTGAAGCAACCTCACCTACTGCTCGGTAAGTTACTCCTATTCCGCTACGAACCCAGCCTAGAGTCCAGTAGTCCCACCCTGTTCCAGTAAAATGAGCCAAGTATGGGACCAGAAGACTATAAAGCAGGACAAAATCACACTTTTGCAATTCTTCAGGACCCTACGATAGACTTTTGTAACCAGCATTGTCCTAACCATATTAGAGCATGTGGTTGCTTTCATTGAACATACGATTGCATTTAATATATTATACATATGTGACTTTGCAACGAATTCCACCATGGTACCTGGGCCTGGACTTGGGGGTAATGGTTCTGGCTCCTTGTTGCTGGAGGTTGGAGGTGCGGGTGTCTTGTCCTTCGATGCAGTTGGTTCTGGAGAAGGAGCACAAACCTTACTAATTGGCTGGGTCGTGTGGTGGCGGAGGTAAAAACGAATTTATATTCATACGATCTATCCCAGAAAACATTATGGATATGATGACAAGTCATATATTATCCATGTGCTTTGCAAATAATTTTTCCAATGTACCTGGGCTTCGTGAAGATGGACTTGGTGCAGGGGGTCCACTTGCTCTGGAGCAGCAGAATCTGACCTTGTAGTTGTAACATGGCAGTCCTCCTTGATCCTCATTGACACATTTCAGTCCTTTATTCTTGTCACAAGTGATTGTCTGGCCCAATTCCTGCCATGGGGTATTCGGGAATCTCTCTGCTTTGCATTCAATGTTTTGCACCGGTGAGTCAGGCAGACAAACCACTTTCCCTGAGGCTATGACCTTCTGGTAAGATTCCTCATCTCCGCCATTTTCTTCATCAGGATATTGCTCATCGTACCAATCAGACCAGCCTGGAGCACAGTCTTCTGCAAAGATACATTCTTAATCAGTCTTCAAACGAGTACTATATATACCAACTCCTTTTTCTCCAAGGTAATATTCTGAAAGCTATAAAATGTATCAAAAATATGAATGTTCCATAGCTTCGAGTGTACGACAAACTTTGTATATCATTATGCACCGGAAGCATAGAATGAGTATTTTCATACTGACTTAACCGTATTTAAAGCTTCAGAATGTTGTGGAGGCTCAAAGCTAAAGCATAGTGAGCTGCCAACCCCTTCTGTTAGCACCACCCACTTTTTTGTAGATACGGCGCATTAATCACCAGCATTGTTCACATAGTTGGTAGTGTCACTCTGAAACAAGCTGACCTACTGCTCGGTAAGTTACTCAGCTTAGAGTCTATTAGTCCCACCCTGTTACAGTAAAATGAGCCAAGTATCAGACCAGAAGACTATGAAGCAGGACAAAAACACACTTTTGCAATGATTCAGGACCATAGCATAGCCTTTTGTCACTGGCAATGTCCCGACCCTACCAGTGCATATGGTTGTTTTCATTGAACATGTGATTGCATTTAATATAGTATCCATATGTTATTTTGCAACTTATTCCACCATGGTACCTGGGCCTGAAGTTGGGGGTGATGGTTCCGGCTCATTGCTACTGGAGGTTGGAGGTGGGGGAGTCTTGTCCTCGGGTCCAGTTGGTTCTTGAGGTGGAGCGCCACTCTCTTCTGGAGCTGGCTTTGTTGGCTTTTCCTCTCCCGGGGGTTTCGGTGTCACTTTGAAAGAAAAGGCAAGGGATGAGTGTTGACAGAATTCAGATTACTCATGCATTTTCAGTTGAACCTTGTAAAATGTTGTAAGCAACCTTAAGACAATACTTTCAATCTGCATTACAAATAAGTTACTGGAAAGTGAAACTAAATAACGTCAAGCTCTTTGCCAATACACTGCTTTATTAAAGCCTCCCAACGGTGTCTGGGTTGGGGGGGTTATTTGACCATCCTTCATCATGCTCTTCAGTGCGGTTTAGTGAACGTGGGATGAGGGTGCATGAAAGTACAGCACAATAAACGGGTGTGGCATTCTGCCCTCAGCATTCCACATTATAAATATGCAGCCTCACGCATCTGTTACACAGGTTGTCCCCCGTTCAAATCTCATCCAGGCGCAAGTCTAATTCGTTGATGAGATCTAACATTCAGTGGTATTCTGTGATTTGATCCTAAGCAGTATACTTCCTGCATATATATAATGTAACAACATGAACACACCTGGCCCTCCTGAGGGTGAGGGTTCTGGCTCCTTGTTGCCGGAGGTTGGAGGTGCGGGTGTCTTGTCCTTCAATGCAGTTGGTTCTGGAGGAGGAGCACAAACCTTACTAATTGGCTGGGTCGGGTGGTGGCGGAGGTTAAAACGATTTTATATTCATACGATCTAACCCAGAAAACATTATGGATATGATGACAAGTCATATATTATCCATGTGCTTTGCAAAATTTTTTTCCAATGTACCTGGGCTTCGTGAAGATGGACTTGGTGCAGGGGGTCCACTTGCTCTGGAGCAGCAGAATCTGACCTTGTAGTTGTAACATGGCAGTCCTCCTTGATCCTCATTGACACATTTCAGTCCTTTATTCTTGTCACAAGTGATTGTCTGGCCCAATTCCTGCCATGGGGTATTCGGGAATCTCTCTGCTTTGCATTCAATGTTTTGCACCGGTGAGTCAGGCAGACAAACCACTTTCCCTGAGGCTATGACCTTCTGGTAAGATTCCTCATCTCCGCCATTTTCTTCATCAGGATATTGCTCATCGTACCAATCAGACCAGCCTGGAGCACAGTCTTCTGCAAAGATACATTCTTAATCAGTCTTCAAACAATTACTATATAAATCAACTCCTTTTTCTCCAAGGTAATGTTCTGAAAGCTATAAAATGTATCAAAACTACGAATGCTCCATTGCTATGAGCATACAACAAACTATGTATATCATTATGCACCGGAATAGAATGAGTATTTTCATACTGAATTAACATACGTAATGCTTCAGAATGTTGTGGAGGCTCAAAGCTAAAGAGCAGTGAGTTGCCAAACCTTTTGTTAGCACCACCTACTTTTATGTAAATATGCTGCCTTAATCACCAGCATTGCTCACATAGTTGGTAGTGTCACTCTGAAGCAGGCTGACCTACTGCTCGGTAAGTTACTCAGCTTAGAGTCCGTTAGTCCCATCCTGTAACCGTAAAATGAGCCAAGTGTCGGACCAGAAAACTATGAAGCAGGACAAAAACACACTTTTGCAATGCTTCAGGACTATAGGATGGCCTATTTTCACTGGCAATGTCCCGACCCTACCAGCGTATATGGTTGCTTTCATTGAACATGTGATTGCATTTAATATAGTATCCATATGTTATTCTGCAACTAATTCCACCATGGTACCTGGGCCTGGAGTTGGGGGTGATGGTTCTGGCTCCTTGCCGCTGGAGGTTGGAGGTGGGGGTGTCTTGTCCTTGGGTCCAGTTGGTTCTTGAGGCGGAGCGCCACTTTCTTCTGGAGCTGGCTTTGTTGGCTTTTCCTCTCCCGGGGGTTTCGGTGTCACTTTTAAAGAAAAGGCAAGGGATGAATGTTGACAGAATTCAGATTACTCATGCATTTTCAGTTGAACCTTGTAAAATGTTGTAAGCAACCTTAAGACAATACTTTCAATCTGCATTACAAATAAGTTACTGGAAAGTGATACTAAATAACGTCAAGCTCTTTGCCAATACACTGGTTTATTAAAGCCTGCCAACGGTGTCTGGGTTGGGGGGGTTATTTGACCATCCTTCATCATGCTCTTCAGTGCGGTTTAGTGAACGTGGGATGAGGGAGCATGAAAGTACATCACAATAAAGAGGTGTGGCATTCTGCCCTCAGCATTCCACATTTTAAATATGCAGCCAATGGCATCTGTTAAACAGATTGTCCCCCATCCAAATCCCATCCAGGCGCAAGTCTAATTAGTTGATGGAATCTAACCAATTAAGTCACATTATTTGCTTTGATCCTGAGCAGTATACTTCCTGTTTATATATAATGTAGCAAAATGAACGCACCTGGCCCTCCTGAGGGTGAGGGTTCTGGCTCCTTGTTGCCAGAGGTTGGAGGTGGGGGTGTCTTGTCCTTCGGTGCAGTTGGTTCTTGAGGCGGAGCGCCACTCTCTTCAGGAGATGGCTTTGTTGGCTTTTCCTCTACCGGGGGTTTCGGTGTTTTTTTTTAAGAAAAGCCAGGGATTGGGTGTTGACAGAATGTACATTGCATTGACTTGGGGACATGTAAGTACAGCAAAATAAAGGAATGTGGTATCCTGCCCTCTGCAGCATATAACATGCAATCTATAACGCATATTACGGATGTGGGCAACCATTCCTGACTTCCAGGACAACCCTATTTCATTTCAGAGATCTGAGAAATGTATGCGCATTCTGCTCTATTTTCATCATAAGAACTATATGGCCGGTTTAAACATATATACATTAAAAAAACTTGCAAACGAAACACACCTGGCCCTCCTGAGGGTGAAGGTTCTGGCTCCTTGTTGCCGGAGGTTGGAGGTGGGGGTGTCTTGTCCTTCGGTGCAGTTGGTTCTTGAGGCGGAGCACCACTCTCTTCAAGAGCTGGCTTTGTTGGCTTTTCCTCTACCGGGGATTTCGGTGTCACTTTGAATGAAAAATCCACGGATGGATGTTAAGGGAATGCAGATTTCTCAAGCATTCTGAGTTTAACCTTGTAAAATGTTGTAAGCAACCTACAGACAATACATTAATCTGAATTTCGAATAAGTTACTGGAAAGTGATACTAAATAATGTACAGCTCTTTGCCAAATATACTGCTAAATTACAGCCCCCCAACGGTGTCTGGGTTGGGGGGGTTGTGTGACCATCCTTCATCATGCTCTTCATGGCGGTTTAGTGAACGTGGGATGAGGGAGCATGGACGTACAGCACAATAAAGAGGTGTGGCATTCTGCCCTCTGTAGTTCAGGTAATAAATATGCAGCTGATGGCATCTGTTACACAGGTTGTCCCCCATCCAAATCTCATGCAGGCGCAAGTCTAAATAGTTGAGATCTAACAAATTAAGTCACATTGTGTGATTTGATCCTAAGCAGTATACTTCCTGTATATATAATCTTACAAAATTAACACACCTGGCCCTCCTGAGGGTGAGGGTTCTGGCTCCTTGTTGCCGGAGGTTGGAGGTGGGGGTGTCTTGTCCTTCGGTCCAGTTGGTTCTTGAGGAGGAGCGCCACTCTCTGCTGGAGCTGGCTTTGTTGGCTTTTCCTCTACCGGGGATTTCGGTGTTTCTTTGAAAGAAATGCCAGGGATTGGGTGTTGACAAAATGTACATTGCATTGACTTGGGGACATGTAAGTACAGCAAAATAAAGGCATGTGGTATCCTGCCCTTTGCAGCCTATAACATGCAATCTTTAACACATATTATGGATGTCGGCAACCATTCCTGATTTCTAGAACAACCCTATTTCATTTCTGAGATCTGAGAAATGTGTGCGCATTCTGCGCTACTTGATGGTAAGTATTATATGGCCGGTATAAACAGATTTACATTAAAAAAAACTTGCAAACGAAACACACCTGGCCCTCCTGAGGGTGAAGGTTCTGGCTCCTTGTTGCCGGAGGTTGGAGGTGGGGGTGTCTTGTCCTTTGGTGCAGTTGGTTCTTGAGGCGGAGCGCCACTCTCTTCAGGAGATGGCTTTGTTGGCTTTTCCTCTACCGGGGGTTTCGGTGTTTTTTTGAAAGAAAAGCAAGGGATTGGGTGTTGACAGAATGTACATTGCATTGACTTGGGGACATGTAAGTACAGCAAAATAGAGGAATGTGGTATCCTGCCCCCTCCAGCCTATAACATGCAATCTATAACGCATATTACGGATGTGGGCAACTATTCCTGACTTCCAGGACAAACCTATTTCATTTCAGAGATCTGATAAATGTATGCGCATTCTGCGCTATTTAGATCGTAAGAACTATATGGCCGGTATGAACATATATACATTAAAAAAACTTGCAAACGAAACATACCTGGCCCTCCTGAGGGTGACGGTTCTGGCTCCTTGTTGCCGGAGGTTGGAGGTGGGGGTGTCTTGTCCTTCGGTGCAGTTGGTTCTTGAGGCGGAGCGCCACTCTCTTCAGGGGCTGGCTTTGTTGGCTTTTCCTCTACCGGGGATTTCGGTGTCACTTTGAATGAAAAATCCACGGATGGATGTTAAGGGAATGCAGATTTCTCAAGCATTCTGAGTTTAACCTCGTAAAATGTTGTAAGCAACCTACAGACAATACATTAATCTGAATTTAGAATAAGTTACTGGAAAGTGATACTAAATAATGTACAGCTCTTTGCCGATTACACTGCTAAGTTAAAGCCCCCCAACGGTGTCTGGGTTGGGGGGGTTGTGTGACCATCCTTCATCATGCTCTTCATGGCGGTTTAGTGAACGTGGGATGAGGGAGCATGGACGTACAGCACAATAAAGAGGTGTGGCATTCTGCCCTCTGTAGTTCAGGTAATAAATATGCAGCTGATGGCATCTGTTAGACAGGTTGTCCCCCATCCAAATCTCATGGCGGTGTAGTGAACGTGGGATGAGGGAGCATGGACGTACAGCACAATAAAGAGGTGTGGCATTCTGCCCTCTGTAGTTCAGGAAATAAATATGCAGTTGATGGCATCTGTTACACAGATTGTCCCCCATCCAAATCTCATGCAGGCGCAAGTCTAAATAGTTGAGATATAACAAATTAAGTCACATTGTGTGATTTGATCCTAAGCAGTATACTTCCTGTATATATATAATCTTACAAAATTAACACACCTGGCCCTCCTGAGGGTGAGGGTTCTGGCTCCTTGTTGCCGGAGGTTGGAGGTGGGGGTGTCTTGTCCTTTGGTGCAGTTGGTTCTTGAGGCGGAGCGCCACTCTCTTCAGGAGATGGCTTTGTTGGCTTTTCCTCTACCGGGGGTTTCGGTGTTTTTTTGAAAGAAAAGCAAGGGATTGGGTGTTGACAGAATGTACATTGCATTGACTTGGGGACATGTAAGTACAGAAAAATAAAGGCATGTGGTATCCTGCCCTTTGCAGCCTATAACATGCAATCTTTAACACATATTATGGATGTCGGCAACCATTCCTGATTTCTAGAACAACCCTATTTCATTTCTGAGATCTGAGAAATGTATGTGCATTCTGCGCTATTTGATCGTAAGAACTACATGGCCGGTATGAACAGATTTACATTTAAAAAAACTTGCAAACGAAACACACCTGGCCCTCCTGAGGGTGAAGGTTCTTGCTCCTTGTTGCCGGAGGTTGGAGGTGGGGGTGTCTTGTCCTTTGGTGCAGTTGGTTCTTGAGGCGGAGCGCCACTCTCTTCAGGAGATGGCTTTGTTGGCTTTTCCTCTACCGGGGGTTTCGGTGTTTTTTTGAAAGAAAAGCAAGGGATTGGGTGTTGACAGAATGTACATTGCATTGACTTGGGGGCATGTAAGTACAGCAAAATAGAGGAATGTGGTATCCTGCCCCCTCCAGCCTATAACATGCAATCTATAACGCATATTACGGATGTGGGCAACTATTCCTGACTTCCAGGACAAACCTATTTCATTTCAGAGATCTGATAAATGTATGCGCATTCTGCGCTATTTAGATCGTAAGAACTACATGGCTGGTATAAACATATATACATTAAAAAAACTTGCAAACGAAACACACCTGGCCCTCCTGAGGGTGAAGGTTCTGGCTCCTTGTTGCCGGAGGTTGGAGGTGGGGGTGTCTTGTCCTTCGGTGCAGTTGGTTCTTGAGGCGGAGCGCCACTCTCTTCAGGAGCTGGCTTTGTTGGCTTTTCCTCTATCGGGGATTTCGGTGTCACTTTGAATGAAAAATCCAGGGATGGATGTTGACAGAATGCAGATTACTCATGCATTTCCAGTTGAACCTTGTAAAATGTTATAAGCAACCTTCAGACAATACTTTCAATCTGCATTACAAATACGTTACTGGAAAGTGATACTAAATAGCGTCAAGCTCTTTGTCAATGCACTGCTTAATTAAAGCCTCCCCATGGTGTCTGCATTGGGGGGGTTATTTGACCATCCTTCATAATGCTCTTCAGTGAGGTTTAGTGAACGTGTGATGAGGGAGCATGAACGTACAGCACAATAAAGAGGTGTGGCATTCTGCCCTCTGTAGTCCACATTATAAATATGCAGCCGATGGCATCTGTTACACAGAGTGTCCCCCATCCAAATCTCATCCAGGCGCAAGTCTTAATTAGTTGAGATCTAACAAATTAAGTCACATTATTTGCTTTGATCCTAAGCAGTATACTTCCTGTATATATAAAATCTAACAAAATGAACACACCTGGCCCTCCTGAGGGTGAGGGTTCTGGCTCCTTGATGCCGGAGGTTGGAGGTGCGGGTGTCTTGTCCTTCGGTGCAGTTGGTTCTTGAGGTGGAGCGCCACTCTCTTCCGGAGATGGCTTTGTTGGCTTTTCCTCTACGGGGGGTTTCGGTGTTTTTTTGAAAGAAAAGCCAGGGATTGGGTGTTGACAGAATGTACATTGCATTGACTTTTGGACATGTAAGTACAGCAAAATAAAGGAATGTGGTATCCTGCCCTCTGCAGCCTATAACATGCAATCTATAACGCATATTACGGATGTGGGCAACCATTCCTGACTTCCAGGACAACCCTATTTCATTTCAGAGATCTGAGAAATGTGTGCGCATTCTGCGCTATTTAGATCGTAAGAACTATATGGCCGGTATGAACATATATACATTAAAAAAACTTGCAAACGAAACATACCTGGCCCTCCTGAGGGTGACGGTTCTGGCTCCTTGTTGCCGGAGGTTGGAGGTGGGGGTGTCTTGTCCTTCGGTGCAGTTGGTTCTTGAGGCGGAGCGCCACTCTCTTCAGGAGCTGGCTTTGTTGGCTTTTCCTCTACCGGGGATTTCGGTGTCACTTTGAATGAAAAATCCACGGATGGATGTTAAGGGAATGCAGATTTCTCAAGCATTCTGAGTTTAACCTCGTAAAATGTTGTAAGCAACCTACAGACAATACATTAATCTGAATTTCGAATAAGTTACTGGAAAGTGATACTAAATAATGTACAGCTCTTTGCAAAATACACTGCTGAATTAAAGCCCCCCAACGGTGTCTGGGTTGGGGGGGTTGTGTGACCATCCTTCATCATGCTCTTCATGGCGGTTTAGTGAACGTGGGATGAGGGAGCATGGACGTACAGCACAATAAAGAGGTGTGGCATTCTGCCCTCTGTAGTTCAGGTAATAAATATGCAGCTGATGGCATCTGTTACACAGGTTGTCCCCCATCCAAATCTCATGCAGGCGCAATTCTAAATAGTTGAGATCTAACAAATTAAGTCACATTGTGTGATTTGATCCTAAGCAGTATAATTCCTGTATATATAATCTTACAAAATTAACACACCTGGCCCTCCTGAGGGTGATGGTTCTGGCTCCTTGCTGCCGGAGGTTGGAGGTGTCTTGTCCTTCGGTGCAGTTGGTTCTTGAGGTGGAGCGCCACTCTCTTCAGGAGATGGCTTTGTTGGCGTTTCCTCTACCGGGGATTTCGGTGTTTCTTTGAAAGAAAAGCCAGGGATTGGGTGTTGACAAAATGTACATTGCATTGACTTGGGGACATGTAAGTACAGCAAAATAAAGGCATGTGGTATCCTGCCCTTTGCAGCCTATAACATGCAATCTTTAACACATATTATGGATGTCGGCAACCATTCCTGATTTCTAGAACAACCCTATTTCATTTCTGAGATCTGAGAAATGTATGCGCATTCTGCGCTATTTGATCGTAAGAACTACATGGCCGGTATAAACATATATACATTAAAAAAAAACTTGCAAACGAAACACACCTGGCCCTCCTGAGGGTGAAGGTTCTGGCTCCTTGTTGCCGGAGGTTGGAGGTGGGGGTGTCTTGTCCTTCGGTGCAGTTGGTTCTTGAGGCGGAGCGCCACTCTCTTCAGGAGCTGGCTTTGTTGGCTTTTCCTCTACCGGGGATTTCGGTGTCACTTTGAATGAAAAATCCACGGATGGATGTTAAGGGAATGCAGATTTCTCAAGCATTCTGAGTTTAACCTTGTAAAATGTTGTAAGCAACCTACAGACAATACATTAATCTGAATTTCGAATAAGTTACTGGAAAGTGATACTAAATAATGTACAGCTCTTTGCCGAATACACTGCTAAGTTAAAGCCCCCCAACGGTGTCTGGGTTGGGGGGGTTGTGTGACCATCCTTCATCATGCTCTTCTTGGCGGTTTAGTGAACGTGGGATGAGGGAGCATGGACGTACAGCACAATAAAGAGGTGTGGCATTCTGCCCTCTGTAGTTCAGGTAATAAATATGCAGCTGATGGCATCTGTTACACAGGTTGTCCTCCATCCAAATCTCATGCAGGTGCAAGTCTAAATAGTTGAGATCTCACAAATTAAGTCACATTGTGTGATTTGATCCTAAGCAGTATACTTTTTGCATATATATAATCTTACAAAATTAACACACCTGGCCCTCCTGAGGGTGAGGGTTCTGGCTCCTTGCTGCCGGAGGTTGGAGGTGGGGGTGTCTTGTCCTTTGGTGCAGTTGGTTCTTGAGGTGGAGCGCCACTTTCTTCTGGAGCTGGCTTTGTTGGCTTTTCCTCTCCCGGGGGTTTCGGTGTCACTTTGAAAGAAAAGGCAAGGGATGGATGTTAACAGAATTCAGATTACTCATGCATTTTCAGTTGCACTTTGTAAATGTTGTAAGTCACGTTTTAGACAATACTTTCAATCTGCATCATGGATTTGGTAATATAAGTTTATGCATCATGCTTGCTAAGCACAGATCTCTGGACTGCAAATTCCAAGCGGCTTTCAACACAGCGGTATTAAATAATTAATAGTTTTCGAATTTAAAAAGGGTATAATATCTTGGGACAGAGATTTTATTATGGAATTCCTAAGTGGAGCATTGTGAGGGACGAAGTAGTGTCTATAACTAACTGTTAGCTTAACACCGAAATTTACGAGACGAAAAATCAGACAGGTAGATCAGGTCCTTGACATAGGTGGAGGAATCATTGAGTGAAGTTCACAGGAACAGTAGCCATAATAGTGGTGATAGAAGAGTGGCAAGGAGCAGCTGGAGTGAATTCGTGAGTGTTGAAAGATATTACTTAGGTAATGTTCTAATGTGAGTAACCACAAGTTCAGAACCAGACTGAGCACCCGGTTTGTTCAACTTGCAATGCTTCTTCAGAAACTAGGATTCTGTGAAGGAAAGACTTAAAAACACTGGAAAGTTTTACGATGTGGATATGGAGAATTGTCGTAAAATGCCAATAGAGTCTGTTAAGTAAATGATGTGGATTAGGCACTTTGTCGGAGCTGAAAGCGTAGTTTTAGAATGAAATTGAAAAGGAGACCGAAACTGAAAGAATAAAAAAGATCAAACTTGATTCGGAGCTTTCGTGACTGCAGGAATGACTCTTTGGTTCTTTCGGTAAAGTAACGTTGAAAGAAAATAAATTAAACAATAGAATACGACGTTTCGATTGCAACACAAGCAGTCGTCATCAGGTAGAACTAAATTTGAGAGAGAGACAAAACACACACACGAAGACACACAGACAGACACACAACATAGACCAGACATGGGCAAAGTACGGCCCCCGGGCCGTATACGGCCCGTTGGGCTTTTTAATCCGGCCCGCCGATCTTGTCCAAATATTATTATTAAATTAAATTTTACCTTTCTCCTGTAATGCCCTCATTTCCACATTAGATGGCGCACTTTGACCGGGAGTTACGATATGTTTTTGTATCGTTCATGCTCGTGCAATTTGTTAAATTGCCTTGCAAATAAATGCTTTGCTTACCTGTTAAAGGCCAAATCCTTTCAAGTAATGAATTTTACACGTCATTTATATTAGTTCACACAAACACTCCATCCATCTGTTCCTGGCCCAGCCCCTCTGTCAAATTTTAGAACCCATTGTGGCCCGCGAGTCAAAAAATTTGCCCACCCCTGACATAGACACACAGAGACCCAATGCCTCTGTGTCAAGGCCGTAAATACAGAGAGAGGGGTTGGGTGAGAGATAGAGGTTGGTCTGCTGGAGCAGCTGCTGGAGCCGAGAAATTAGCATGTCAATGAAAGAACCAACAAGACTGGTATATTTTAGAGAAAGTTGTATGGAATTTTTTAATTGATTTTCTTTCTACATGACTTTACCGAAAGAACCAAAGAGTAATCAAAAACAGATCCTTGACGTTTAGAGGATGATGGGCCATATGGTGAAATGAAGGAAGCTTTGGATCAGAGGAGGATGGGGGGAGCGAGTTGGAGCCAAAGACCCATCATCATTGGGCAGAGGACTAAAGAACACACATCCCAAGACACACTCCAATATTGTATTTATTTTCAAACTACATGTAGTGTATCAATACTTAGGTTGCACCTTGAAAACTGTAATAATGTTGCCGACTTGCATGGGTATTTACCATTTTTTGTGGTTGGCCCAGGTGGTCTTGTGGCTTCAACTGGTGGAATGATGATTTCTGCAGAAACATGCCATGTAAATTAAACACAGCTACACATATTTCTCAGCTTGAATACACAAAGCAATTAGCGCTCCCACCCCCCACCCCCCACTGCAAAAACCTTGGCGTGACCCTCCTGAAAATGAGTCGTGAAACTTAGTGAAGCTATCCTGGGTGAACAAGCGGAAATAAAAATGTTTTAAATACCATTTACAATTGATTCTTAAGTGAATGTCGGCCGATGATCATATTTACAGATTAGCGACGCTTCATTGCACGTTTTATGCACAGGCTTGTTTGTATTAATAAATTATTTTATAACAAGCTAGCTCATAAAACCTGTCTTCGGCAGGCAAAACATTTCAATAAAAATAATAATTCACCTGATAAAAAAATTGTATTTGTTATCTATGATCAGACCACTAACAACTCTTCCAAACATTTGGTATTTTGCTACGAAAAATAAATGTTGATGACCTGATTAAACTCCTTATATTTAAAGATGCAGCCATCGGGGAAGCTCTCATATCCTTTAACGTTTTCGAATTATTCAGATTTAAAAGTATTAAAATGTGTATTTTTTTTGTTCAAATTACTTTAATCTGAAATATCTCAATGATTCTCGCTTAAATATAAGTGCTGTTTAATGCTCTATCAAAGGAAAAAGCCGCAGTCTTATATTTTGAACGGTTTCTGAATGACAAGCACACAAAAAATTATGGGGTAATACAAATCGACATTTGGGGGCCTTAAAATGAAAAATGTCGATTTTTCTGATTGTTTTTCTGTTTTCTGCGTCCTAAAAGCTACTAACGTATCAAATGCCAGCTTTGTACCTTGTCGGGAAGTACCCTCGAGGTTTTGATACGTAGATACATACAGATACACACAAGATACACACAGACACACACAGACACACACAGATACACACAGACACACACAGACACACACAAACACGCAGACACGCAGATACACACAGATACACACAGATACATACAGACACACACAGATATACACACACAGACACACACAGACACACACAGATGCACACAGTTACACAGATACATACACAGATGCATACAGATACAGATACACACAGACACACACACAGACACACACAGATACACAGACACACACATATACATACAGATACACACAGATACACACAGACACACACAGACACACACAGATACACACAGACACACACAGACACACACAGATACACACAGACACATACAGATACACACACAGATACACACAGATACAGACAGATACACAGAGATACAGACAGATACACACAGACACATACAGATACACACAGATACACATAGATACACACACAGACACACACAGACACACACAGATACACACAGATACAGACATACACACAGACACAGACAGATACACACAGACACATACAGATAAACGTCTTCATTAACATAGTAGATCAAAACCAGCGTTCAGGGTTTGTGACTTGGTGCTCACATAATCGCAAACATTAAAGCAAGCAAAGCAATTACTTTAAGAAACAAGAATAGACAATTTTGCATTCCCCATGTTTTTTCTTTATACAACTTAATCCCTCCACCCCAGGAGTGATGGCACAGAGGTCACAGCGTTGAGTTGGTACCACTGTTCACCTGGGTTCGATTCCAGGCAGCTGCCTGTGGATATGTATATGGTCCTCAAGTGCAATTAATTTATTGACTGTCTGGTCACCAATGATGTACGCACTTGATTTAGCTCAATTCCAGCTGTGAGATCAAAAATGTCAGGTTGACTACCATGCAAATTACCTCACTCTCATTAGCAGAGCGAGTCGGAGGTTAAGGTGTGTAATATGTGTGTGGACCTTAGAAATAGCTTCAAGGGATTTGTGAGGTCGCTATATAATATCCGTTTTTGTGGGCTGTTTTCAAACACGAAGGACTGAACTTCTCTGCCAGAGTTCCATTCGTCTTCTGACGTGTCACCAATAGTAAAATCAGGATAAACTGGGGGGGGGGGGGGGGGAATTAAACCAATAAATTTCCATCCTGAAAGCCACCATCAAAGCATAAGTTACCTTCATCTGGCACTGGGGATGTCGGTGCTGTTGACAGAGGAGCAGTGGTTGCTGGCGAAATCAGCGAGCAGCAAAACCTGACCTTGTAGTTGTAGCAGAATGGCATGGTCTGATCCGTGTGCGAGCATTTCAACCCCACGTCCTTGTTACAAGTGATTGCCTGGCCCAACTCCTCCCATGGTGTGTTCGGGTATTTGTCCGCACGGCAGTCGATGTTTTCCACCAAGAATCCCGGTGCGCAGACAACTTTCCCCGAGGCTGTGACCTTCTGGTACGACTCCTCGTCGCCATCGTTGTCGGCGTCCGGAGAATGTTCGTTGTACCACTCAGACCAGCTTCCTGAGCAGGGCACTTGACTCAGGTTCGTCGTCGCTGTTGGCTGCTGCACGGTGGCACCTTCAACCGGAGCGCCCACCGTGGTCGAACGTCCCTTGGGCGGTTGCGTCGGAGCCACGTCGGGCACAGCTGTGCTCGAGCCGACGATGGGTGGCTCGGTTGGGAGCGGCGGTACGGCGGTGGCGGTGGTGGTGGCGTTGTTCACGTCGATGGGAGTTATCCCGCACTCCACGGAGTCTTCCACCTCCCCGAGTTGCGAGCACGTTTTGGTGGTCGCGCAGTACTGATCGGGGTCTAATTCTCTTGATATGAAGGCGCCCAGCTCGTACAGTTGTTCGTGGTAACAGCATCCATCTGGATATAAAATATTAGTGAGCGTTATGGGGTCGGGGTGGGGGTTGTAATAACTGGCTTTTGAGCAATTGATTGCTCATTCCACTGCTAACACACTGCTGGGTGGACAGAGGCGAGGGGGGGTTTGAGAAACCTTCACCATATTTTCAACTTCTGCGCTGGGAGATTGAATCAAACTGGCAGCCTCTGGATTGCAAGCCCAGTATTCCAAGCACTACGCCGCAGCAGTACACCAATGTTGGTTTAATCGCACCGGTTATGCAATTCATTCGAGGGTGGCTACGTATTATGAAAGAGATCGCAAAAATATCAGCTAATGACACGTACGCAAAAGGGTGATTTTGAGACAACAAAAGGTGACCATAGCCTCGGTCTTCCCATCGTGCCTGGGCATGTCACAGGACATCTTAAGGAAAAGGTTCCCCCCTGTCCCTGACATGAAGGAATGGCTGCCCTTGGGTACCTGGTATTTCGCAAAGCAGCTCAGCATTGTCGCATGTGCTGCAGTCACACAGAGAAGACACACAACAAGGGCAATTATGCAGGCACATGCCGTTGTATTTGTAAAATAATGTTCAAAGTGAATGTGATACTGGAGAGAACGAGCACTCAAGCAGAGCGCATGGATGTCCGTCGGTGTCCAGTGGAAGAGGTTCAGTCATTCCGCACAAACCGATGGCTTTTCAATCACCAGTGCGCATACTCGTGCCGTCTGCTGCTGCATGCAGCTTAAATTATCACGCAAGCAACGTTCCGACCGAATGTTTTCAGTTCATCTTTTGTGTTGCCATTGCCGCGATTGGGGATTTACCTTGTGACCTACGCTGTAACAGGACTGTAAATTATCATAATATAAACTATCTACATAAATAAAGATATTTAACCTGTATGTATCAAAAACCTCTAGTGTACTTTCCGACAAGGTAGGAAGCTGAAATGTGCTACCCAGGTAACTTTTATGACACAAATAGCAGGAGAAACAATCTGAATATTCGAGATTTTTTTATTTTAAGGCCCCCAAATCTCTATTTTAAGCACTCAATAAACATGTTTGTTCGTGTCATTCAGCAGAGACCGTTCAAAATATAACATTGTGGGTTTTTTTCTTTTGATAGAATGTTAAACAGAAATAAAATTCTATCTTTTATTGTTTTTGAGACATTTCGGATTCAAGTGGTTTTGAATGAAAAAATAACACATGTTGTGATGTTCAAATCTGAATAATTCCAAAACGGTAAAAGATAGGAGCTTCCCCTCATAGAATTTAAAGTTCATAATTTTGTGTTCTTTCTAATAAAAAAAAGAACGTAATCTTTAAATTGAACGATTTCTGATGGGTACGTCTTTAAATATAAGAAGTTGAATCAAGTTGTCAACACATTTGTGTTTTTTTACGGAAAATACCTAATTTTTTTAGTAGGTGTTAGTGTCTGATCATAGATAATAATTGTAGAAAAAAAACATCAGGTTCATTTTCATATTTATTGAAAACTTTTGTCTGGCGAAGACAGGCTTAATGAACTAATTCTAATATAAACAATGATAATTATTTTTTCTTATTTTACCAGGTAAGGCTCACTGTACCTATTCAGCTCTTTTTCTTAGAAGCCACCTTGCCCACAAGTGAGAGCCCAACGAAGTGGCTTATCACGTGTCAATATATATGTCAGCCAAATCCTCTAAATGCGTGTTCCTTAATGTGGAGGGAAAAACCCGGAGGACCCCGGGGAAAAACCACCGTGACCACGAGGAGAGAGACACGCAAACTCCAAATATAAAAGCGTCAGGGTCGGGATCGAACCCACGACCTCCTGCATACCAGGCGAGGCAGTCAACATCTCCTAGCCTCCGTGCTAACCCATCGCACCGTGGCAGCATCCGTGCATTCGGGGCAGACGGAACTTGTCGAATGGACGCGATGTTGGTCCTTGAGCACGCGGTGTCAATGTGGTTGAAAGCAGAGGGGGTCTCACCAGATTTGGCAAGTCTTGGCGATGTGGATCTGCTGCCCGGCCAGGATGACGTCATCCTCAACAAAGCAGCTGCAGTTGGCTTTTGGCACGCAGTGCATGGTGTTCTCGTCCAAGTATGGCGCGTCTGGCGGGCAGTGCGGGTAGCAGCCTGCAGCGAGAATAGCGGCGAATCGTCATCCCCACGGCTCGCACCAACACCAGGACTACCGTCACTGCTAAGACCAAGGGGCCATCCATAAATGACGTCACGCGATTTTGGACGATTTTTTGACCGCCCCCACCCCCTTGTCACACGGCATCACAAAAAGTCAGACCCCTCCCCCCCCTCCCTCAAATATGACGTTACAAAGCTCTGCATTCTGATGTTGTAGGAGTGTTGCATTTTTACGTGACGTCACATTTCTCAAACCCCCCCATCACACACCGTTACAAATGTCTGACCCCCCCCCCCCAGGTGCGTGACGTCATTTATGGACGGCCCCATAGCGGTGAATCGTTATCCCCACGGCTCGCACCAACACCAGGACTACCGTCACTACTAAGACTAACACCAACCGCCATTCGCCACTAGTGGCGGTTACATCACCACGGCACTTGTGCCATGCTAAGGGGCCATCCATACATGACGTCACGCACCTGGGCGGGGGGGGGGGGGTCAGACATTTGTGACGATGTGTGACGAGGGGGGCGGGGGGGTTTAGAAATATGACATCACGTCAAAATGCGCAACTTAATTCAATAGACTTTTTTTATCAATGTTTTCTCCTACGACATCAGAGTGCAGCACCACATTAAATACGCACTACAATGACAATAGTTTAAAGCGATTTGAAGCATGTTTTATTTTTGTGGGGGGTGGGGGGTGTTGAAAAAAATCATCCAAAATCGCGCGACGTCATTTATGGATGGCCCCAAAGTGCACTCTGAGGTCACGCGAAGTGGCGAAGGTCCACTGGCAGGAGGTCACGGAACAGACCCAGGTGCCACGGGTTGAATGACTGGGATGAGTGGCAGATGCACCAACTGCTGTGCTTCCCACTGCGCCACTGTTCTGCGTTTTAGCTGCCCGGCACTCTGCTTGTTGTTGTGAGCGTCGCTCCTCTGCCCTCCTTTATTGCTGGAGGGCGACTGCCGCCAACTCCCAAGGAGCGTCCTTCTCGCGCCTCCACAGGGGCCGATCTTGACACCGCTGCTGCTGCTGCTGCTGTCGTTGTTTTCCTCGCACTTTCTGTTTATAGGTGGCGTCGTGTCGCCACTTTCGAAGGGTTTAGCCAGAGATCCATCGATTTAATTTTGGGTCCGCGTTTTGGGCAACTGAGAAAATGGGAGACGTCTTCTGGCGTTGCTTGGCACAAAGGGCAGCAGTTAGGGTCGTTTGGGTCGATTCGATTTTGGTAATCGGCAAGCATGGAGCAGTGACCTGACGCTGCTCGTACCAGTTGTCGGTAAGTCCAATCAGCTCCACATCCTTCTGCTCCACATGAGTCCATCTCTTCTCTAGCCTGTGCCATGCCCGTTTAGTCGTCCCATATATCTGGCCAAACAGATGCTCCTTGGGCATGTGGTGGCTTAGCATGCAGGCTACATAACCCAGCCAACGCAGCCAACCACTAACACCACCACTACCGCTATGAACATTGGCAACCAATGGCATCAGTACTGGCACCACCACTGCCACCACAACTATCACAATAATGGGAGCGTTTTGTAAGGTTGCACTCAGGGTCAGCAGATCAGAGGAGGTGGACAAACGTAAGCATTCAGAGGATGTTGATACTGACGATGACGATGATGGCGACGATGACGACGATGACGATGACGACAAGAACGATTATTATGATGCTAATGAGTTGACGGTGATGATGCAGTAAAAACAAACCTTCGATGGGAGGCAGGGAACCTTGGTTCAGTTTCTGGAGGTGGCTGCAGGTGCTGGGAAGGGAACTGCATGGATTGTAGTGCCACGTGCATTCCGATTCCTCGTTGTAGAAGTCGCAGAAGACGGCTGAAGGTGTGGGGGGGGGGGGGTGCGTCGGGCGGAGGGGAGGGATTAACAGAGGTAACATTGTAAGAAACTCATCATTGGCATCGATTATCCGCGATGCCTGAAGGGTTGCACCACTAGCTCGGCACGACATCCAACGTTTCTCACCGCGCGCTTTGGGGCTTCTTCAGGAATTTCATCTGCCAGAGAAGCTCGTAGCGCGCAAAGCAAAATGTCGGGAAAATCGTCCGGAGCAAAACGTGGAACGACCCGAAAAACACACCGTCAGGCTATGTGTGTGTGTTTGTTGAACTTCTTTCCCACCACCGTACGTAGCCAATCGTGCTAATCGGAGGTGTGGACTATACGGTAGACACCCTCTTAACGACGGGATTTGGTTCAACAAAACCGGTCATTAAGTGATTTGGTCGTTAAGCGAGTATAGTAAATACAGGCAAGTCCCCCGGGTTACGGAAGGGTTAGGTTCCTGAGCAATATCCACAATCCGAATTTTCCGTATGTCGGAAACTGAACCATTTTCCCCCAAAAAATCACGATGAAATCCCACATCCGGAAATAGTTGTGCCTCCCCTACGGTTTGCACTCAGTGCTGTATCGTGCTGTTGTCCGTTTTCTATCACTACCCATGTCGTATCGCAGTACATACGCTCTGCACTTCTTATGATTCTTTCATTTGATCGAATATCTACCCTAACACTGCCCATAATTAAACTAATGGAACATAAACTGTATCCAATTGTTGATTTTAATATTCATTGTTAACAGAAAGCAGTCACTTCCGAATGTTTACCATGCATTTGGCTAGACCTAGACTTCACGTACAAAAAGACAAAGATCCCCCAGTATCGCCTTAACAGACTTCTAGGGCAAGTGCTGAGTCGCTGAGAGCAGAGTTGCTGTGTGCAGAGTGTCTGAGTGTGGAGTCGCTGTGTGCAGAGTCGCTGTGTGCAGAGTGTCTGAGTGTGGAGTCTCTGAGTGTGGAGTCGCTGTGTGCGGAGTCGCTGAGTGCGGAGTCGCTGAGTGCGGAGTCTCTGAGTGTGGAGTCTCTGAGTGCAGAGTCTCTGAGTGCGGAGTCTCTTGAGTGCGGAGTCTCTGAATGCGAAGTCTCTGAGTGCGGAGTCGCTGTGTGCAGAGTCGCTGTGTGCAGAGTCGCTGAGTGCAGAGTCGCTGAGTGCGGAGTCGCTAAGTGCGGAGTCGCTGTGTGCAGAGTCGCTGTGTGTGGAGTCTCTGAGTGCGAAGTCTCTGAGAGCAGAGCTGCTGTGTGCAGAGTGTCTGAGTGCAGAGTCGCTGAGTGCGGAGTCGCTGAGTGTGGAGTGTCTGAGTGTGGAGTCGCTGTGTGCGGAGTCTCTGAATGCGAAGTCTCTGAGTGCGGAGTCTCTGAGTGCGGAGTCTCTGAGTGTGGAGTCTCTGAGTGCAGAGTCTCTGAATGCAGAGTCGCTGAGTGCAGAGTCGCTGAGTGTGAAGACGCTGAGTGTGGAGTCTCTGTGTGCAGAGTCGCTGAGTGTGGAGTCGCTATGTGCAGAGTGTCTGAGTGTGGAGTCGCTGTGTGCAGAGTCGCTATGTGTGGAGTCGCTGAGTGTGGAATCGCTGTGTGCAGAGTTGCTGAGTGTGAAGACGCTGAGTGTGGAACCGCTGATAGCAGAGCTGCTGAGTGCAAGATAGTTGGGGTGCAGAATAGACAAGAGCGGGGAGAAGTCAAGTGTATGTGACCGTAAAGAAAAGAGATATAGGAGTGCCTACAACTGGCGCGAGACAGCAGAAATAAAGTGTAAGCAGGTGACTTATTACTCCGTGTCGGTGTGATGATTTTTTAAAGACACTACACTATATAGCAGTGTACACTACACTACTATACACTACACTACTATATACTACACTGCTATCCACTAAACTACTATACACTACACTATACACAACACTACTATATACTACACTATACACAACACTACTATATGCTACACATTTGGCTCTATGGAGGCCCGTCGTTAAGTGATTAGTCGTGAACAGGGGTGCTCGTTAAGAGGGGTTCTAATCTCCTGTGAAAACACACGCGGTGATTTTTCTAAATGGCCGCTGTCATCGTGGCCATCATCATCATCGTCGTCATCGTCGTCATCGTCGTCATCCTCGCTTCGGCAACCCAAAGCCCCCGGTCGGTCAGGCCGCATTTGCCGGGAAGTCGCTCCCTCTCTCACGAACCGTCGTGTCGGTACAACGGCGCCGCGGGAGATGCGCTGAGCGGCTGAGCAAACCGCTCATTGCCCGAGGCCGAGCGGCCGGGTTTGAGGAGCATAGAGGACAAACGAGCAGGCCGGTGAGTGGAGCGACCGTGACCACCTACCGCCCTCCCCCTGTCACATGCATTCCACTCACGGCAGCGGTCGGGCGTCCTCCACCTGATGCACACGCCGGCCTCGTTGCAGACCTGGGCGTACGCAGCCACCGCGGTGCAGAAGCACTCGCAGTCGCCGCCATCGCATGCGCACGAGTCGCGAATGCACGCCTCCAGGAACGGCGCGTGGTCCACCTGGGTCAGGACAAGGGGAGCGAGGCGATATTGGAAATCCGCGATCAGTCGCCGACAGAAAGACAAGGGAGAGGCGCAGCCACGTCGGGTGTCGAGGAGGTCCACATAACAACAACAACAACAACCGCCGTTCACCACTAAGTGGCGGTGACGTCACCACGTCAGGTGAAGAAACGGGACTCTCCGGAAGAGAGCGCTGTCTTCCGGACGGTCCCGTTTCTTCACCTGAGGAAGGCTACTTGTGTTGTGGCCAAAACGTCGTGAGAATTTATTCTGTTATTATTTTTTTTATTATTATTTTATCTCCATTCTATGTGACTTTACCGAAAGAACCCAGAAGATGAATCCCTGCAGTCACGAAAGTTTAAATCGAAATATAATTGTGGCTGTGTCGGGTGCTGGCGGATTTAACGACACATTTATATTCACACGATCTAGCCCAAAAAAAACATATAGTTGTATGGTGCACACTACCATGGCCACGTGGAAACCGCAGACAAGCAGGAAGGCAGCCAGAACCAGTGTCAACAATTGCCCAAGTTCTGTGGCCATATATTTGGGTGTCTGTTTACATCATTGACCCCTCCGCTCGCTCCTCATGCCTTCTCATCGTGGACCATCGACGACCCACGGCTAGTCCGAGGGGGCTTCATGGCTGCGTGCCGAGTTACAGAGGCCACCAGCGGCCAGCCGCCCTCCCGCCCCGACCCGCCCCGTCCACGCCGTCCCGTAGGCGACTCACGTGGTCGTGGCACGAGCTGAAGACGTCACCGGCGAGGACGTGACACTGGCGCAGCGCCCACGCGTGGCGGTGCGGATTCTGCTGGCAAGGCTCCACCGCCTCTGTCATGGCGGCGCAGCTCTCCTTTATCCTCCAACTGTTGCCGAACGCCAGCACGGACGCGGCCGTGGAGCCGTCGGCCGCTGTCAAGTCGTCGCTGTCGCGCCCATTGTAGTTGCCGCAGAGGCCGCACAGGGTGCCCTGGGGTGTGGGGGGGGGGGTCGGGAGCGGGGTGGCACCGAGCCGTGAGCGAAACAGCGAAACGAAGCCGAGAGTTTACGGCTCCCGGGCAGCCCAAAGGGGGTGACCCCCTCGGATTCGCGAGGGAAACTGTATCAACTTGAACTCGTTTGATCCTAATCTAATTATTATAATTGTCCGGTGGCTTCCGGTGGGGAGGGAGGGTGCAGATTTTCATAAATGCCGGAAAAAAATCACCAAACATCATAATTTAAAATAACTTCATTTTGGGCATTCTTGTATGACGTAACTTTTTTTAGGTGTTGCCGTATGTTTTCAGCGTTAACTATCGTAGTGTAGTAGTATAGTAGTTTAGCATAATAGTGTAGTAGTAGTAGTATAGCAGCATATTATAGTGGTATAGTAGTAGTGTTGTAGTTTAATAGTGAGTATAATATAGTAGTGTAGTAGTATAATAGTGTAGTAGTATACTATAGTAGTGTGATGGGACTTTGTAGGATGAACGTTGAGAGATTTATAAGGGGCACGGGATGACCAATAAGGTCTGAATTGGTCTGTAATAAGGTAGGGCACTAATAAGGGGTTGACAGGTATGGATCTAAGATCGGCAGTTCATGCGCATGTGGAGGAGTAAAGTACGCAGCTCCGATCTCTTCTGGGACATCTCGCCGGTGTAGGACTTTCTAGAACTCCCCTCTAGGGAGACTGTTCCGTCGGCATGGTTATAAGCAACCATTTGCAGTGCTCCACAATTCTCTTTGTCCCTAACACCTCTCTTTGTCCGGGCAGTTGGCTCGGCAGTTGAGCGAGTGGCTCGCAATCGAAAGATTGCAAATCCCTGGTTGGGAGGTGACAACTTGGCCTCCATCATCCGTCTGGGATCTATATGCTGATTAAGACTCTGTGGGGAAGTCTGAATAATCATTTGAGTAGGATAAAAGTGTGGGTTTTTTATTTTAAATATACAGTGAGGGAAAAAAGTATATGATCCCCTGCTGATTTTGTACGTTTGCCCACTGACAAAGAAATGATCAGTCTATAATTTTAATGGTAGGTTTATTTGAACAGTGAGAGACAGAATAACAACAAAAAAATCCAGAAAAACGCATGTCAAAAATGTTATAAATTGATTTGCATTTTAATGAGGGAAATAAGTATTTGACCCCACTGCAAAACATGACTTAGTACTTGGTGGCAAAACCCTTGTTGGCAATCACAGAGGTCAGACGTTTCTTGTAGTTGGCCACCAGGTTTGCACACATCTCAGGAGGGATTTTGTCCCACTCCTCTTAGCAGATCTTCTCCAAGTCATTAAGGTTTCGAGGCTGACGTTTGGCAACTCGAACCTTCAGCTCCCTCCACAGATTTTCTATGGGATTAAGGTCTGGAGACTGGCTCATAATCTCTTGCTCCCCTCCATCTAACAATAATAAGCGGAATAATTATTATTATTCTACACGCACAGGTTTCGCTCTCCCCGTTGAAAAGACACAACAACTCGGACACGCGATGAATCGTAGACGAGTGGGAAAGGGAGTAGGAAAATGATCCCGGTGCCAACAGCTGCCCAAGCCCTACGGACCTCGATGTGTTAATGTTTTTCAGCTAATTATTAAGTGCTTATACACGTATACACAAAGACAAACCCATGTGCCCGAGAGGGCAACAACAACACCACTACCCCATGCAGATCGAAACAGATGGCTATTAATCCACGTGCTCCACTGCCAACTCCTGGTGAGCCAGGGTGTGGATCCTCCTCAACGCAGCACCCTGGGGGAAGGGATATTCGCAACATCTGTGCGGCGATCCGCCGAACCCTCGCTGCCGCCTCCACGGAGTTTGATCGCACCGCGGGGGAGGCAGCCACGTCCAGCAGCAGCATAGCAACCACCGTCCATTTCTATCTCCTGTACATTGCACCACCTTGGCTTTGGCCCTGACCGTGTACTTGGAGTCGACCTGTGACGAAGATGCTCGTGCGCTGGTCCCACGTGACCATGACGCCACCACCACCACCTCCAGCACCATCGCCACCAACCACCACCAAAATCACCACCAACACCACCACCGCAACGCTGACCTTGTACTTGGAGTCGACCTTGACGAAGATGCTCGTGCGCCGGTCCCACATGACCATGATGCCGATGCCGGTCTGCACGATGCGGTAGAGCCCCACCGAGTGGATGGTCAGGTCATCCACCATCGCCGGGATCTTTCCGGCCACGGGCACCACCATCACCTCCCCGGCCACCATGTGAACCTCCACGTTGTAATCCTGGAGTGGACGAGGAAGGGAGAGAGGGAGGGAGAAGATGGAGGGAGGTGAGGCGGGCGGGACGGGGTTACAGAGGGAGGTGAGGAGAGGGAAAGTTTGAAGGAGGGAGGGAGACGACAGAAAGACCCCAGTGGCCAAGCACACTCGGCATGGACCCTGATGCCAGGGAATAAACTCAACTGGCGATGGGGGTGAGGGAACCTGTCGTCTAAACTTCCTGGACCTCTCCTGGCCCGTGGACACCGCGAACTTTTGCACTCCCTCGTTTGCACACTCAATTGCTATGCCAAGAACAAAGAGCCAGCGTAGACTTATCGAAGGAACCAATCGACTCGCGCGTACACCGAGACGCGCAAGCTCATCAACTCGCAGCGCTTGGAAAGCTCGCGCTTAACCCAGCCCGCGTCGCAGCGCGGTCAGCCGGCCACCGGAGTGGCTCTTGACTTCACCTTGATGTAGAAGCGGATCGCCTTGGAGCAGCTCGAGTCCACAGCGCTGCAGTCCTTGCCGGTGATGATCTGAAAGTTGCCCTCGGCTGTGGAGCAGTAGTCCTGGTCGGCACAAAGCGAGCACAATTTGGTGATCCATCCATCCAACCGTCGTGCATCCCTCCGTTCGTCCATAGGTAAATCCGCCCATTTTGTGCGATCATTCTCCCCCACCCAGTTGTGGCGCTGCCTGCTGTATAGTGTATAGTGTACTATACACTATACAGTAAACATTACTATACACCACTAT